GTTCACTGTATGTTGTATTATGGTGAAGAATGGTAATTTAATTATGTTTCATTTCTTTTCCATATTTAACATCATCCTTACTAACCTTTTCTGGAATTTCATTCATACTAATTATTTACTGAAACCTGGTTTTTTGTTTGTTTGGTTGGTTGGTTTTGTTTTTTGGTGGATGTTATTCAGTGAGCCCTATGAATCAGTCCCCTCATTTGTGCCAGTTGCTTTTAAGGTTTTCTGCATAATTGTTATACTAAGATGTTTTTTCTATTGTGTTCATGAGCTAATTCTCATTTCTTGAATGACATAGTTTTCTCTTTATTGAGTTGTTGCATTTTTTGTTTTACTTTTGTTGTTGTTGTTGTTGTTGTTGTTGTTCTTTTCTTTCACAGTTCTGGGGAATGAACCCCTTGAGCTATATCCCTAGCCAATTTTTTATTTTGAGACTAAGTTGCTAAGTTACCCAGAGTGTGCTTGGCCTTGCAGTCCTCTTGCCTCAGCCTCCCGAGGTACTGCAATTCAGGGCATGTATCACCACACCTGTCTTATTTTTCTTTTTTAAATTTTATCTTTTTGAAACAGGATCTTACTATGCAGTTCAGGCTGGCCTTGAACTCACTTTATATCCTAATCTGGCCTCCAACTCGCAGTGATCCTCCTACTTCAGCCTTCCAAGTGCTGGGATTACAGGCGTGAGCCACCATGCCTGACATCTTCTTTTTAAATTTTAAAATATCTTTAATAGCACTATAAAAAGTGAAGAAGAGATGCATTACATAATGAGAAAATGGTTCACCAAGAACACATAACTGTATGTGTACCAAACTATAGAGCTTCAGATACCATACATGAAACAAAAACTGGCTATACTGAAAGGACAGACAGACCTGCCGTCAGAGTTGGAGGCTTAACTCTTCTCTCAACTATTTTGAAAGATTGAGTAGATAGAAAATCAGTAAGGAATTGCAGAACACTCATCAAACAAGCAGTCCTGATTGTCCGCCTAGCAAAAAAATCCACATTCTGTTCAAGTGCTGGTAAATATTTAGCAAAATAAATCATATCTTGAGTCATAAACTAAACACCAGCAAAGTTCAAAGAGGTGAACTTATCAGTGAGTGTTACCTGATCATCATAAAAGTAAGCTTGAAATCAGTAACAGAGATGACAGGAAAATTCAGGTGTGCAGAATTAATGTTTCTAAACATGATTTAAAAAGAAGTCTCTTGGGAAAGTTTATAATGTTGTAAACCAAAGAAACCAATAAATCAGTGTATCTAAGCACAGAAAAAGATGTGTTTAGAGGCATTGCATGCATTTGTTAGAAGATCTCAGATCAATAATTTAAGCTTCCACATATGAATCCAGAAATGAACAGTGGGGCTGGAGATTTAGCTCAGCGGCATAAGCGCCTGCCTTGCAAGCACGTGGTCGTGAGTTCTATCCCCGGCACCAATTTAAAAAAAAAAGACCTCCAGAAATGAACGGCAGAATAAACTCAGATAATAGATAGCATAGTGAGCAGAAGTCAAGAATTGAATAAAGAAGAAAAAATTGATGAAACCTAAAGTCTGTCATCCTATTCATCTCTCCTTGCTTCCTTCCTCCCTGCCTCTTTCCTTTAGTGCTGGGAGTGGAACCTAAGGCTTTATGCATGCTGGGCATGGACTGTGCCCCTGAGTTTTTATATCAATAAAACTGATAAGCCTCTAGAGATTAAAAAAGCAAACAAATTAGCAGTATCGAAATGAGAAAAATGGCACCACTGTTAGCTATATAGGCATGAAAAGGGTAATATGAATAGCTGTTGGATATAAATTCAGCAAATAGAGGGAATGCATTCATTCTTCAAAAATCACTATATTAGCTTTCTGTGTCTGATTTTAAAAATTACAATAAATTTAGTGGCCTGAGACAGTTTGAATTTATCATTAACGATTCTGGAGATCAGATATTTGGCATTAAAGTCTCACTGTGATAAAATCAAGTTGCATTCCTGTATTGAGGCTCTAGGGAAGAATTTGTTTCTAACTTTTAGAAGCTGCATTTCATGGAGACCCCTTCTGTTTGCAAAGCCAGTGAATCAAGTTTTTCACACATCTTACCAGTTTAACTTCTTCTTTCTCTTCTGTTTTCTTTCTACATTTAAGGACCTTTATAATTATGTTTAACCCACCCAGATAACCTTCCGGTTATAAGGTTACCAATTATGGACCTTAATTCCATCTGCTATATTAATTCCCTTTGCTGTGGAACATGTTGCCAGGTCTGAGATTAGGATGTGAGCGTCTTTGGAGGGGCCATTATTCTGTCTGCCACACCACAAACAATCCAGATTCTCCCCAGTGTGAAGTACATACCCATTCCTTCAGCCCTTGCCTCTAGTCTGCTCTTCAATCTCTACTGGGCATTGTGTCTCTCCGAATTTGTTTATTCTAGTTGCTTCATATAAGTGGAATCTTATTAATATTTGTACTTATTAGGGTTTTTTTGTTGTTGTTGTTTTGAGACAATCTAACTATTAGTTTAGGCTGGCCTTAAACTCATGGGGATCCTCCCATCTCACCCTCTAGGGTGCTGGGATTACAAGTGTGTGCCGCCACACCCAGAAGTATTGGTACTTTGTGTCAGGTTTATCTCACTTTGTAAAATGTTCTTAAGGTGTTTTTTGAGGAAGGAACAAAGAATAACTTAATGGAAAAAAATGTGAGGTTTGTTTGTTTGTTTGTTTGTTTTTGTTTTTTGGTGCCAGGGATCCAACTCATGACCTCACGGCACTTACACCGCTGAGCTAAAACCCTGGCCCAAAAATGTATTCTTTTAACAAAGATAATTAAGCATGTAAAAATCTGACTCAACCTATTCCTCATACCTTATATAAAAATTAACTCACAGTGGATCATAGATTTAAGTATAATATCTAAAACCATAAAAATTTTAGAAGCAAATAGGCCCAGGTACGGTGGGACACGCAATTCCAGTACTTCAGAGGCTGCTGCAAGATCTCAAGTTCAAGGCCAGCCACAAACCTGCCTCAAAGAGATCAGAAGATTTTTGCATCCTGTGGTATAGCAATGTTTTTTATACATAATATCAAAGGCATAGTATATAAAACAACTTCCAATAAGTGGAGCTCATAAACAGTAAAACCTTTCCCCCAGAAAAGATACTATTGGCCAGGTGCAGTGTAATCCCAGCACATGGGAGGTGGAGGCAGGAGGATGGCTATGAGTTCGAGGCCAGCCTGAAGTAAATAGAGAGACCCTACCTCAAAAACCAAAACAAAATAAAAATACTATTAGGAAAACAAAAAACAGGCTATAGACTAGGAGAGTATACTTGAAAATAACATGTTGGAGAAAAGTTTTATATCCAGAATATAAAAGAAAACAATGGTAATTAGCCCAGTTTTAAAAGAAACAAAGAATTAGATTTACATGGCTATTTTATCAGAGTATATAAAAATGATAAATACTCAAACTAGAAAGAGTTCAATATCATTAACTGCTCAGGAAGTGCAGATTTAGCCCATAATGAGTTGTTATCCATTAGAACAACTAAAAGTAAAACTGACAATAGTAAGTACTTGCAAAATTACAAACAACTAGATCTATTATATGTGGCTGATAAGAATTCAGAATAATAGGGCTGGGGGTGTAGCTCAATAGCATAAGCACCTGCCTGGCAAGCGAAAGGTCATGAGTTCCATCTCAGATACCAAAAAAGTTCAGAATGGTGGAACCACTCTGGAAAACAGGTAGAATTAATATTACACCTAACCACATGCTGGGCATAGTGATGCACACCTGTAATCTCAGCACCCAAGGGGCTGAGGCAGGAGTGTTGCCATGAGTTGAGGCCAACCTGGCTACATAGCAAGACCCTGTCTGAAAAAAACAAACAAAAAATTACATTTAATCAGACTCTCAACTGTGCCATCTCTGGAGACTATAAATGTTCTTCAGCAGATGAATGGATAAATTGTTCAGCTATATATGTAGATAGTTCAGGGTCATCCTGGGGCAACTTGGTGAGAGCCTGTCTCAAAAAAAACCTCATGAGGCATGACTGGCAAAATAGTTCCAGACAAAACCTTGGGTTCAATCTTCTGTACCACACACAGGTATGCATGCCTGAGGACGCAAGTCAGCAAGAGCCTTCAGCTCAGGCCACAGTACTGTGACTGAAGAAGGGAAAGAATGGGCACCAGCTTTGCTGAGCTACATATTTTCCCTATACTGTACTTAGTATTGTTTCCTTTAATTCTCGCCATTCGTATTTATCACACAGAAGCTACAGAAAAGTGAAATAAAGGAATTCTGTTTATGCTTGTTATGGAGCTAATTCGTTAAAAATTATCCTGGTAACACCACATTTAGCAAGATTTCCAAGCGCTTTTTACTTGAGGAGGAACAGAGTCAGGAACTCCAGGTGATTTTTAATTTCCTGAGCCTGATAACAAAACTGTGGTTATACTGTAAAAAACCTTCTTAGGACCCACACACTGAAATATTTAGAAGTAAGAATATATGATGTGTGCAACTTCATGGGTCAGGAAAAAAAGGCAATGATACAGGTAGTGTTGTACTACTCAGGTAAACATACAATTTTGTAATTTATTCCCAAGTGAAAAGTTACAAAAACAAAGAGTCCTCTGGTCCTCATTTCAGGGTAGTTATACATTTTTTAATATATCTTGAAGACTGGGCTTTACACAGGGCAGCCTGTGCTGCTTGGGTTGGGTGAGCCTCACTCTAGTGTGTAGGTGTTGGCAGTGAGGCTGTTAGCTTAGGTGTGCAGTAGCTCAGTGCCCTGCTGATTTACAGTACCCATCTCTGCACAGGGCAGGCTTCTTAAGAACTTTGTAAGTGCAGCCGACTCTAAACTATGCACCTTTAGCAAATGTGGGTTCCACTTTAACTGAGTAAGCAAAGGTGTGATTTACCTGAACGTGGTCTGTTATTACATATGTATCTTGAGCTCTGAAAACTACGTTTCTCTTTCAGCCCAAAATGGAGTCAATCCTGACTGGGAGAAGAAAGTTATTGAATATTTTAAGGAAAAGCTGAAGGAAAATAATGCTCCTAAATGGGTAAGCTTACTGGTATTTTAGAAGGAGAGAGTTGAGCAAGCTGCAGTCCCTTTGAATGCAGTAGTAACCCATATATAATGTAAAAATGCATAGCCGGCTGGGCATAGGGTGGAGGGCACACTTGTAATCCCAGTACTCGGGAGGCTGTGCCAGGAGGATCGCTGTGAGTTTGAGGGCAGTCTGGGGCTACATAGTGAGTTCAAGGCCAGACTCAACTACACAGTAAAACCCTGTCTCAGAAAAACAACAATAAAAATGTAGATTACTATCTACATTTGCCCTAAATTTGTATGTAGTGTTAAAAAGATTGTAATTTCTTTGGCAGGCAACTGAATGTTTCTGTATTGTACCTCTAGATGGCAGTAACTGACTGTAACTTTCTGGGACAAAAAGCATCTATTGCCGTTGGTTCTATTACCTTCATTTAAAAAGAATTGGCAAGTAAATGTTTGTCTGCTAACTGAAATGTTAGGAAGAAAAAACATCCTACATTGTACCTTTGGTCCAGGGTTTTTTTTTGTTTTGTTTTTTTGTTTTTTTGTCTTTTTCATTTTCATTTTTATCGGTAGCGGGGATCGAACTCACCACCGCCTACTTGCAAGGCAGGTGCTTATGCCGCTGAGCTAAATCCCCAGCCCCTTTGGTCCAGGTTTTTCACAGCAACTTGGAAGAATTCAAACTTCTTTTGTCCAGCAGTTATGTTGTATTGGATGTTCAGGTCATTTGGCTTCTTGATAGGGCGTGTGTGTGTGTGTGTGTGTGAGCGCGCGCGCGCGTGCATGCACACTTAAGGAAGGGGGAAAAGGCATTTGTATCCAGATATGTCGCCTATATAGGTATGTATGCTGGATGTTTTATAGACAGGATATTTTGTTGACTTACTTGATTGTTTTCTTTTAAGGTACCATCACTGAACGAAGTTCCCCTTCATTATTTGAAACCTAACAGCTTTGTGAAGTTTCGTTGCATGATTCAGGATATGTTTGACCCTGAGTTTTACATGGGAGTTTATGAAACAGTTAACCAAAACACAAAAGCCCGTGTATGTATTGCCTTTTTAGTGAAACTTTCTGCTTGTAATTTTGTGTTAAATGTTGATATAATTGTTGTCTTTTGTTTTGGATGATAGGTTCTTCATTTTGGAAAATACCGAGATATAGCAGAGTGTGGGGTATGTATCTTTAAGATACAAAACATCTTCAGTAAGAATTTTTTTCCTCAGTGGAGAGTTTATTCTTTTGGTTTTACTTCAGTTTATCTTGGAATAACAGGTTCTAATGTATCATGTCCAAAATTTCATTATTTGATATTATTTTTTTGATGTGATTTTTTAAATATGTTTTATCTCTTAAAGGTATCTCAGAAAATACAACATTGTAAATAACACAATTCCCTTCTTTTATCGGTATCTGTGTACTTATTTTTAAAATATATGTAAATTGTTTTTAAATGAAAATGAATGATTTACCGGATTCTCTTTGCCAACCTATTAGACTAATACATGTAGTTTTTTCCCAGTGTGTGACAAGTGTAATAGCTCAGTGATCTTGACGTCTGGAAATGGGCTAAAAGTTAGGTAATGCCGTCCATCTGTAACACTGCCTAAAGGGTCATGTGCAGAAAGGGTCTGTATGTTGCTAAAGAGACTAAAAAGAGAGAAGCAAACCAAAACATGAGTATGTTATCTCATTCTCAAACTTGCTGCCTCTTGGGTCTTTTTTACTTCTTAGGCCTAAGTATGTTTGGAATAGAGAATATACCTGTCCCGGGGAGTGATGTCAGAATTTAAATCTCATCTCAGAGCTAACAGTTGATGAGTATTCAATTCCTGTGTCATAGGCTGGTTCTGGGAGTTTTCTATGAAAGAAATGATGGGATTACCATAGGCTTTGTGTTTTGTGGTGCTGAAGACGGAATCCTGAGCTTCAGCTTTGTCTTTGAAAAAAACTGAAAAGGATTCAAAGCACTGTGAGAGACTGGGTTAGGAAGATTGCAAGTTCTAGCCACCTGTCTCAAAATAAAGGGCCAGAAGTGAAGCTCAGTGGAAAGGTCCAATGGCCAATATTACCCCTGCCCCTAATTGTTTTTTCAGTTTGTAACCTGGAATACTATGGATTTCAAGGAGTTAAAGTTTTGATTATTGTACTTGAAATTATTTTTTAGTTTCTTTAAAAATGATAGGAAGTAGTTGCTTGTTAATTAACTTTTGAGGTAACATATACTATGGTTTTGTAAATATATTTGGTAATTTTAAAAATCTTTGTTTTTCTTAATTTTTAAAAATATATTTGTGTGTATCACAGCCTCAACAAGAACTTGATTTAAACTCTCCACGATCTACCACTTTGGAAAGACAGACTTTCTACTGTGTTCCAGTGCCTGGAGAATCTACATGGGTAAAAGAAATATCCTTTATCTGAAACAAGTGTTGAATCGTTCCTAATTGTTGTTTTAATGGAAAAGAATTCAGATTTCAAGTTTCTAGTTGTCTTGCTAGACTGATAATAAAGCAAACTGGAAAAATAAGATTACTCTTCACTTACAAAGCTCCACTTTAATAAAATGCAAACCAACGTAAGTCTTCATTGAGAAATGCTAAAATTCTGGTATATTCTTACAGTTTAAGCACTGTGAAAAAAGTTGAATTACCCATGTGTGGTGGTAGATGCCTGTAATCTCAGCAACTCATAAAGCTGAGGCAGGAAAAATATGATGCCAGCCTGGATAACTCAGTGAGACCCTATCTCAAAAAATAAAAGATGGGGATGTAGCTCGGTGTGAGGCCTTGGGTTCAGTCTAAGTACCACAGTCAGTCAGTCAGATAAAAGATGTGGAGAGATTTTGAGTACCATGATAATTAGTTTAAAATAGCTTCAAATTAGAATTATTTTTCTTAAGGAAAATAGTATGTGGTTCTTTTGAGAGGAAGACTGTGGAAATAATATATCTTTATTTTTTGTTTTATAATTTGTTAGTCATGGCTTGCATATGCTGAAATGCAGAGTTGTGAGGGGCTTTGACTGGTTGGTTTGGTAGGGTTTTTTTTTCCCCCCTATTTTTTTGTAGCACAATCTTGCTTCGAGTTTGTTGTTTTTTGTTATTTGTTTTTGTTGTTTTGTTTTTGGTACCTGGGATCGAACTCATGCCCTTGCACTTGCTAAGCAGTTGCATATGCCATTGAGCTAAATCCCCAGCCTCTTTGCTTCTGGTTTTGACTGACCTTAAACTCACGGTGTAGCATGGCCTGGACCTTATAGCAGTCCACCTGTCTCAGCTTCCCAAATGCTGGGATTATGGGTGTGTACCACAACACCCAGTCTCCTTCCCAGTGTTGCTTCTGGGTTTTTGAGATAAGTCTCATTATGTAGTTTAGAAGGCCTTGAATTCACTGTGTAGCCCAGGCCAGCCTCAAATTTACAGAAGTCTTCTTGCCTCACCCCTCTGAATGCTGGCATTATAGGTATGCACCACTCACTGTTCTGGCTTGCTGTGATTTTTTGATAAAAGGCTAGCCATCATTTCCATTTCTCCCGTCTAACTAAGGCCTTTGGTTTCCTTTGGTTACTTTTCATAGTTCTCTTTGGCTTCTAGCATGTGTTCAAGTTCACTGGCTTTTTCTGTTAACTCCACTTTGCCTTCAACCCCATTTAGTTTTTCATTTCAGATATTTTCAGATTAAGATTTTTATTTGGTTTTCTCATTGTTGGTATTTCTCTGCTAATTTTCCTATTTGTTTACTCACTGTATCTTTTCTCTTGAAGTTGTGAATTATGTGTTTTTGTGTTCTGCTAATTGTCATGTCCAGTTCATCTGAGTTTTTAATCTTTCTTGCTTCACATAACTAAGAATGTACTCCCAGCACTCAGGAAGATGAGGCAAGAGGGTCACCGTGAGTTCGAGACTAACCTGCAACTGGAAAGTGAGACCCTGTGTCAGAAAAATAAAAACAAAACAACAACAACAAAAAAGAATGTTACATGCCTGTAATCCTAGCTATCTGGGAGACTAAAGTCAGCAGATTGACTACAATCCAGGAGTTGGAGACCAGCTTAGGCAGCATGGGAGACCCCTACTCCAAAGAAGAATGTTGCATTTGTTTCTGCTAGGTAATTTACTAGAGCCTTTGATTTCATGAAGTCATGGTTTGGGGATTTGTTGAGGTAGGTTTGGAGTAGTTATCCCTTGCTGTGTAAGACAGTTCTTATGAAACATGCTAGTGGAGACCTTACCTAGATGCCTGGGTATTCAGCAAGGTCCTGGTGTGTGCTTCCAGCTGCTTCATTTGATTCTTGGCTCAACAGCAGCTGTTCTCTGGTAAGCCTCAGGGAAGCATTTGGCCAGAAATACAGAGGGAAGCTGTACAGATTTCTCCGTCTTCTGTCTTCATCTGCCTTTTAATTTTTTGCAAATTGTAGTTTCTTTAGAAACCCTCAACTGTGTGCTGTATTTTCTCCCCCAACAAAAATGAGTTGCTGCGGTTTGGGAAAAGCTTCTCCTGGAGGGTTGGGAGGATGTAGACTTGACTTGGTGCATCTCCTCATCCACTGATGTAACCGTCTGCTCCATGTAGTCCAGTGCCTGTTACTTTTTATAACCAAAACTGGAAATCTGGTCTCCTGTAAAAATACTTTTATTTTTAATAATTACCAAACTAGTAATCTTGTATTAGTAATAATTAGCATAATTTAGGATATTCTTCATCTCATGGTAGCTTTTTCCTTAACCTTTTATTTAACGCCTATGTTAATGCCAACCAAGCTCGAGTCAGTCCCTCAACATCCTACACTCCCAGTCGTCACAAGAGGAGTTACGAAGATGATGAAGATATGGACCTCCAGCCCCATAAACAGAAAGACCAGCACACAAGTGCCAGACAAGCAGGCGGTATGTACCAGCAAGCTTCCTGTAGGTGTCTCCATCTTGCTGTATAGTGAGTTTGTTTATAGAATTAATTGCTATAGAATAGGGTTCTAAAAGCCTGGCATAGTGATGCATGCCTGTAATCCTAGTGCCTGGGAGGCTGAGACAGGATGATCACTGCAAGTTCAAGATAAGCCTGGACCACAAAGCAAGCCCCTGTCTCCAAAAAAAAAAACTATCAATATATCTATCTATATAGCTGTAGATACAAATACAGTTAGTTTTCTAGATTTAGGAGCTGGTAATGATGTAGCAGCCCTCCAGTTTATCAAAATTGTGGACAGTTTGAAGTTTGGGAATGTAACTAGCGGTAAAGTGCTTTCGTAGCAAGTGCTAGGCCCTGGGTTTAACCCTCAGCACCATACACAGAGATGGTAGATAGTGGTTTTGGAGGTTTTACAGTACTCTTTGGTCAAAGTATACTTCATAACTGAGCATTTAGGCATCACTTATCAAGAAGTAGCAGCTCTAATGTACAATTTTAGTTTCTCAGGTGATCAGAAAAGGCCTTTTCTATCTTCATATTTATTTTTATCTCAAGTAATATGAGAGCATAGTATTCTATCTTAAAAATGATTTACTTATATTTGAAAATACCCTTTCTTATTTTCTTTTTTGAAGTGAGTGCTTTCACTTAATTCAAAATTGACTAAAAATATCAAAAACAATATTGTGACACACTAGATGAATTTTTGGTGGCTTATTTCTTAAAACCTGCTTAAAGGGGCTGGGGATTTAGCTCAGCGGCATAAGCACCTGCCTTGCAAGCAGGCAGTCGTGGGTTCGATCCCTGGTACTGATAAAAAGGAAAAAGACAAAAAAAAACCTGCTTAAAATACAGCAATTCTGAACTAGGTATAGTGGCTCATGCCTGTAATCCCAGCACTTGGGAGGCTGAGGCAGGAAGATTGCTGTGAGTTTGAGGCCACTTGGGCTACATAGTGAGCTCAAGGCCAGCCTGAACTACAGATCGATACCCTATCTCAAAAAACAAAGAAAAACAGCCAATTCTAATTAAAAGACAGAGACCAAAAGTTAACATTTTCTAAGAACATGAGACTTCAGACTTGGTGCATGTCATTGCTGTTTTCAGGCATGGCTTTTCTGAGCAGTGCATCTCTTTGATATGACAGGTTGAGAAGTGTCATTTGCCTTTTTGCATGCTGGTCACTGCCCTTTAATAAGGGAAAATTAGGGAAGAAGTAAAACAAATCAGTCTGATGATGAGTCAGTATTTGCAAGGCTGGATTAGAAGAGAAAATTGAAGAATCAGTGATAAACAGACTAGTGAATTTCATTGAAATATTATTCTACTTTATGAACTCACATTACCAAATTTCCTTAACATGAAGGCCCATTTAAATGACTTGAATGTTTTACAAAATGAGTTTATAGAGGCTGGGGATTTAGCTCAGCATCGTGCGTGCCTGCTTGGCAAGCGTGAGATTGTGAGTTCAATCCCAGCTCCAAAAAAAAAAGTGAATATATACAAATACGTAAGTATTATTTTTCTTCATCCCCAAACTTTAAATGAATAATGTACTGTAACAGTAAATGATAATGTATTTGAGTCCAAGAAATGTGATTCTATTACCATTTAAGTAATTGATGGTTCTTTATATTTCTTGTTTCCCCACCATGTTTAGGGGTTTTGAGGGATGGAGATTTGAAGCAGGATCTCACTATGTGTTCCAGGCTGGCCTTGAATTCATTATATATCCAGGCTAGGCTGAGGCTTGGGGCCACCCTCCTGCCTCGGCCTCCTGAATGCTGGGATTACAGGCATGCACCACCATACCTAGCTCTAGTTCTTGCCCTATTTTTTTTCTTTAAATTTTTGTCTTTCTGAGACAGGATTTCTCTGTGCAATTCAGGCTGGCCTTGAACTCACTTTGTAGCCCAGGCTGACCTGCAACTCACAGTGATCCTTCTACCTTAGCCTGGCTTCTGTAGTACTTCTTATAACCAAATGTAATATTACATTCCTTTCCTTCACCAATTCCCAAGTTTCTTTGACATCTGAAAATTTTCTTACCATTTCCCAGTATCTGTTGCACATTTTAGTCCTTATACTTTTTGGTTTCTCACACCAGAGAAACCTTGTGCTGTTTACATATGAGTGTCTGATTATTCCACTTAAGAGTGTGGTCTCCAGGTGCATCCATTTAGCTTGAAATGTCTCGCAAGCTTATCCTTCTTTGTGATTGAGTAGGACTCCATTATGTTAAAAAAAAAAATAAAAAAAAAAAACCTCTTTATTCATTCATCTGTTGATGGGTATATGGACTGTTTCCAAGACTTATCTACTACAGACTATGCCACTCTAAACATGGGTGTGCATATATCACCATGCATGATGGCTTTAATTCTTGAGGAAGATACAAAGAAGGGGAATAGCTGGGTCAAATGGAACTTCTGGTTTTAGTTTTTTGAGGAACTTCCACACTGATTTCCACAGTGGTTCTCGACCAGTAGTGGAGAATGGTTCCTTTTTCCCCAAAAATTGGTTGATTTCTTGATAATAGTCATTCTTTTTGGAGATGGAATCTCAGTGTTGTAATTTCAAGAATATATATAAAAGGAATTGTACATTAATAAACTTTCGGGGCTGGCTTTTTCTAATCAGCATGATTCACTTGAGATCCACCCAAATAGTTGTATGTGTCAATAATTATTTTCTTTTTACTGCTGAATAGTATACAATAGACCACATTTTTATTTTAAGTAGCTATCAGCCCTAAATTGGAACTGCTACAGGATGAAGGGCTATCTTTTTAATGATCTGTATGTTCCTATTAATTTGGCTGATACTTGGTAGATAATGGATATTAATAAATGTTTTTTAGATGACTTGATTGGTGTCTGGCTCTGCCTAATGTGTATAAAAAAAGAATATCCTACTACTTAATACTATTGTATTAAGTAGTTTTTTCAGTCAGAGATACTGAAGTAACCATGTTGAATATTTACATTTTAAAATATTTATAGGAACTTGATAGTAATTTGTGGGTATTTTGTAATAGGAAAAGAATTAAAATTTCTGATTCATGCTTATCTTTGCTTTTCTGAAGATCGCAGGCCTTTGTTAGTATGTTAGAGTTGTAACTGTGATATTTTCAAACTCTGAAACATCAGTTCTATCAAACTTGAGAAATACTTCTGGAATGTTATTTTTTCTTCCTGATGTCTTAGAAATGACTCAGTACAATGCTGTCCTTTGGATTTAGGGAGTGTCAGTGGTCTTCAGTGGTGTGGAGAGCCCAAGCGTTTAGAAACCGAAGCTTCCACAGGGCAGCAGCTGAACTCCCTAAACCTCTCTTCTCCTTTTGATCTGAATTTTCCATTGCCTGGCGAGAAGGGCCCAGCCTGCCTTGTGAAGGTAATATAATAAAACCTTTTTGTCCCTGACATGGATAGGTATGTTACCTGTCTAGGGAACTGACATGGAGAACTCAGCATTTGTATCTTTGGGGGTGGGTGGATGCTGTCAGTAATCAGTACAAATTTAGAGACATGCAGCAACAAAAATTCTATTTCATAGGCTCTGGGTTAGGAATACAATGTGGGTCTCTGGAGTAAAATCAACTTGTCAAGAAGGTTTCATTCTTGACTGGTGGTTCTAGAGGAGAATCTGGGATTTTTCTGTTGATTTTTATTCCTGCCTTGTTCAGCTTCTAAAGCTAGCCACATTCCTTGACTTGGCCCTTCCCAGTTTTTTAGTCCAGCCACATTGCATCTGTTTGACCATTTTTATAGTGACATCTCTACCTGACTGTAGCCAAGAAAAGTTCCCCTTTCTGTAGACCTGTGTGATTACACTGGGACCACCTAGATAATTCAGGATAATTTCCCCATCATGCCTGCAAACTTTTTTTTTTTGCATGAAAAGTACCACATTTATAAGTTCCAAGTCTTTAGAGAGTCCTTATTCTGGCTGTTGTAACTTTGTTAAAGAATCAAAGAATCTATCAAATGTGGAAATGGGACAATTGTTTTAATTCATGTCTACCTCCTTCCTATATCATTTGTAATTTTATGATGTCTGTTTTTGCCATTTTTCCTTGCCTCATCACAACTTTCTCAAACCAGGTATGGTAATACCTGTCTGTAATTCCAGGGGAGATTGAGGCAGGAGGTTTACCCAGCCAAGGAAAATTAGCAACTTGGCAAGACTTTCTCTCAAAGTAAAATAACACAAAAGGGCTGGGGTTGGAGCCTAGTAAAAAGGCTCTGGGTTCAATTCCCAGTACTGCAAATACTAATAATGATAGTAGTAGTAATAATAGTTAACTCATTTAAACTTAAAAGACAAGAAGGAAGTTGTTGAAAGTTTATTATTCTATCTTATTCTTACTTTTTTGGGGGGTTTTTGGTTTTATTGATGCTCATAAGTCAGTAAGTGATAGGAGGTTCAGAAATGATGGCCAAGAGTTTAGTTTAAACTTTGTACTTTTTTCTCTGTGATCTTCCCATCAGTTCTCACCAGGAAGAGGCTTTGACAGTCAAATGCATCTGAACAATAAAGTGTCTCTTAATTTTTTTTTTTTTTTTGTACCAGAAATCAAACTCAGTTCCTCACCTTGCCAGGCAGGCTCTGTGCCACTGAGCAATATCTTTAGCAGTTATTTTGTTTTGTTTGGTACCAGAAATTGTACTCAGGACCTCATGATTGCCAGGCAGGCACTGTAGTACTGAGCTATATCCCTGGCCCTAAAAGTTTGTTTAATATGAAAAGGGTTGTGGCCATTGTAAATTTTGTGTTAAACCCTGATGTTAAATAATTTGTAAGTTTAAAATTAATCACCTTGGCTTATTATGTTTTTGTTTTCCTTCTCAGTGTGGTTGATAGATTTTGAAGTAATGCATGTTTCTAAATTGTCACTACCAGCCTTTGGCAAAAGCCCTTACTGTTTTTAAGTAGTGTGGTATATGGGAAATAGGTGTTGATCTGGGAGTCCTGATCTGTGTTTTGGTTTTTACCCTACTTGCTCACTAGCAGAACAACTTTAGGTAGGTGCCTTCTCTCTCCCAGTGTCAGTTTATGAAATAAGGGAGTTACTTTAAGGTCCATTTATTTAACCTAAATGCTTTTTTCATGTAGTACTCATGTGATTTCATGTGGTTACTTGTTAGGTCTATGAAGACTGGGATTGTTTCAAAGTAAATGATGTTCTTGAGTTATATGGCATATTGTCTGTGGATCCTGTACTAAGTATACTGAATAATGATGAGAGGTGAGTCCATCTACTCTTTTTTTGTCTTGTTTACTTTTTTGCTATAATTTCATACTTGCAGACGAGTGTTAGACACTATGAGTGTTGTTTCCCTCCGTACTAAGATTTACCAGTTGTCAGCACTTGTGCCCCATATACTTTGCCACTCACATGTGCTTTTTTTTTTTGAGACCCTGGAGAGTAAACTGCATACATTAAACCCTTTACCTCTAAATTCTTGAGTCAGTATTTCCTGAGAACAAAGACTTCATACGTTACCTGAGTATAGGGATCAAAATTAGGAAATTTTGCCATGAATACATAAGTCTACTCCGCAGTCCATACTTGAGTTCACCATCCCTCTCCATCTGCAGCCTCCCTCTTGGTCCAGGATCCATAGAATGGCTGATTACATTAACCTTAAACGGTTAGCAACCTTTTATTGTCCTGCGTGGCTTTGACAATTTTTGGGGGGTTTTTTTTGTGTCTTACATATACTACAAAAACTTTTATCAGTATGGAAGCTGGAAAGGCCAATATCAGCTATTTAATGAGGGTTCACTCCTGGTTTGTAGGTAGCCATTTTCTCAGAGCAAAGAGCAGAGGCCTTTGGTGGGGTTGTGGGATGTGTGTGTGTTGTTTATTTTGAGACAAAGTCTTGCTATGTAGTGTAGTCTGGCCTTGAACTCAGTATATAACCCAGGCTGGCCTCCTGCCTTAGCCTCCCAAGTGTTGGAATTATAGGTGTACTTCATCATGCCCAGCCAGGCCAGTTATTTAGCAGACTACTACTTTTGACAGGAAACTGCAGACGAGAGTGTCATTCTTAGTGCACTGTAACAGGGGACACATAGCAGTTTGTCTTATTATTACTGGTGCTACGTAGCTTTCTTTCCTATACAGTTATGATTTTTCACTTTGTCATTAACAAGTAACAGAGAATAGCCTTTTTTTTTTTTTTTTTTTGCGATACTGGGGATCGAACTCACAACCTCGTGCTTGCCAGGCAGGCACTTATGCCACTGAGCTAAATCCCCAGCCTGAGAATAGCTTTTTTTTTTTTTTACAATAACTTAAGACTATGTAAATATCCGGTTTCTTGATAAACTTGCACTGATTTAGTTTGCATCCATTGACAATTCTGACTTGACTTAGTTGTAAACCCAATCATTGTCACTTCTGCATTTTTTAGGCATTCAATATAAGAGATTTTTTTTCTATTTAGTCAAAGAATTATTACCAGTATAGATGGGGGAATTCGTTTATTATTAAATGATAGTATCATTTTTTTGAGACTCAGATTTTCCCAGATTTATCTAGTGGGAGTCACTCTGGGGTTTTGTTTAGAATGACCTTATCCCTTCCTTTAATTTTTTTGGTACTGGAGATTGAACCTAGGACCTTCATACTAAGCTATATCCCTAGCTCGTTTTTATTTTGATACAGGATCGTATCAATTTGCTAAGGTGCCCAAGCTGGGCTGGAACTTGCAGTCTTCCTGCCTGAACCTCCCAGAGGATGCCACTGTGCCTGTGGACCTTATCATTTTTTAACATTTATTTTCTGAAGCATTAAGTTGTGTTAAACACTTTGCATGCTCCAGCCTGAGTACCAGCCAGCTTCTCAAGGACCTTTCTTTTCTTGAGGAACTACATTTAAAATCAAGATCAGCCAGCTGTGGTGGCGCATGCCTATAATTCCAGCATTTGGAAGGCTGACACAAGAGAATTGCTTTGAGTTCAAGGCCAACTTGAATTACATAAAGAAGCTGTCTCTGAGACAAAGGTCTCTCTATGTAATGAAACCTTGAACTGCCTCAGATTCCCCAGTGCTCAGATTACAGGCATATGCTGCCACACCTGGCCTAGTGTAGGTTTTGATACAGGGTAAACTTTTCTTCTCAGCCTTTTTAGTGGCCAGACTATTGTATTAGTCAGCTTTCTGTTGTAACAAAACCTGAGATAATCTACTTACAAGAAGTTTATAATTTATAAAACTTAAGTTTTATAAGTTTATTCTTTCTATTTCTCTTTTGCAAAAATAGGGGTTTTTATTTGCTTGTTTTTGTGTTTTTGAGACACTATGCAGTTCACGCTGGCCTTGAGCTCATTTTGTAGCCAGGCTTGTCTCAAACTCACAGCAATCCTCCTGCCCCAACCTCCTAAGTGCTGGGATTACAGGTGTGCATCACCATGCCCAGCTGCAAAAATACTGTTATAAGTTTATAAAAGTATGTTATCAACCTATATGAGTTTATAAAGAGAAAAGATTTATTTTGGTTCATAATTTGGGACGTTTCAGTCCTGGTTCTCTGGCCTTGTTATTCTGGGCTCATAACACATTACAGTAGGGAGCACCTGGAGGAGCGAAAGCTTGAGCATCACAGGGTGCAGCGATGAGGTCTCCTTTGAGCATGCACCCCAGCGAACTGAAGACTACCCTCCCATGACCTGCTCTATAAGTTTCTACCACCTTCCCACAGCACCAGCTAGGGATCAGTCCTTGAGCACATGAGGCTACTTTGGATCCAAACTGTGGCACCCATTTGTGTACACGAGTTCATACTGTTTCTGAGCAGTTCTGCAGCCCAGGTGGTCATCTAGCTGTTCTTCCCCTATTGATCTCCCTTTTATGCAGAAAAGGATTTGATTTCCATTATCCTCAATCTGTTGTGTGCTCAGTTCCACAGTACACTAGAGAACTCAAGAATTAGTAACACATACTACAAAACAGTTACAGTTCAGTGTTTTTTTTTAGAAGAACACTCTATAGTCAGAATTCTATATTGCAGAGATACTTAGGTAACTTTTCTTTGCCTTTAATATGATTCTATCATTGCTTTCACATTGATTTATTTGTACCTGATTATTTTACTTCAACGTTTTTTTGGTTTTTTTTTTTTCATCACATGTATAATTTTGATTTAAAGAAAGAGGAAATATTAACATTGTTGACAAATGAAAGCTACACAGAAAAGACTCAGGAGGGCCACAGCTCTCAAACTCATCCCTGCTTGCCTGGTCGCACCCCGCTGCCCTAGAGAACTGGTTTATCCTGCCTGAACTCTTTTGCAAAAATAATTAGATGTGTCTGTATTTTATTTTCCATTTTTCTTCTATAAAAAATAGCATAGTGTCTGTATTCTTTTATGTTTTTGTTTAATAACCTACGTTAAGTTTTCTTCTTTTGAGGTTGCCGAAGGGAGTAAGTGCTTTGGCACGTACTTGTGGAAGTACCTGCCCCCCACAAAGGGAGCCTTAGCTTGTTGAATGCCAAGTGTTCATCCTGGTTTCTGCACAGGAAAAACGTGCAGTTTTCCACATTTAAACAATCTGTCCAAAACAAATTTTAAACAAGTTTAAATAAACTTAACAATCTCTGAGTAACAGTACTTACAATTTCTGGTCTTGGCTAATTCTGGTTATGCTGACATTCCTCCTTAGTTACTAAGCCAATACTGCTTAATTTAGAGGTGAGGTGTGCAGAGGGGTGGGGCAGGCTCTTGGAATTCTGATTTGGCCTTGTTAGTGCTTTCCTCATTATAAAGAGGAGTAGTTGTAAGGGTTTAATGAATATTTATACGGGATATGTTGAACACTGCATTATCCAATCCATACTAGGTAAAGCTGAATATTTTCAAACATTTTACCCATCTCTTTCAGTCACTCAATAAACCTATCATGTAAATTTATTCAGCAAATCTGAAGAACCCACATTGTTTTCGTGCTTTTTCTTACTATTCGAGGCAGATTTCATGTAAGAATAAAATTCAAGAAAGAGAATTAGGTAGAGGCGATTGACTCTTCATATGTAAAATAATAGATACTGGCTGGCTTTGGAGAAAACCCAAGTTTTGGAAGGTGCTGGGAGACATTTGCTATCTTAACTGAAAATTGAACAAGTATTTGCATTTTAAAATCTTGAGTGACATCTGTTACCCCATTTGTGGCAATGACAGCATGCTGAGTGAAAAATACTGTTGAACTTGAAAAATGGAAGAAATCCATTCGTTGTACTGTGACCAAACTGTCCTAAAATCCGTGTGATGGTGAAACATCATAGAATGAGGAGCCACTTTCTGTTCTTTAAGGAGATGTGCAGGTGGAAGTGTTGCTGGCTTGGATTCTAACTTGGCTTCAGAGATGCACATTGTTTTTACACATCTGCAGTCAGTGTCTCTAACCTGGAGTCCGGTCTCTGCAGGGATGCCTCAGCACTGCTGGACCCCATGGAGTGCACAGACACAGTAGAGGAGCAGAGGGTGCACAGTCCTCCTGCCTCGTTAGTGCCAAGAATTCATGTGGTTTTGGCCCAGAAGTTGCAGCACATCAATCCACTGTTACCCGCCTGCCTTAACAAAGAGGAGAGCAGAACCTGTAAGTGTAAGTGTTGAAGCCTGGCGAACCCTCCATCTCTGTCCAGAGCTGCTGTGACTTGAGCTTTAGTAGAATTGAGAGGTCCTTGTTCGTCCTCAGTGGTGTATTGCTTTGCCCCATTTTCTTCTCTTAATTGAAATAAGACAAAAGAGAAAGGGTAGAAAACTGCCTTAGTTTTAAGGTTGGCATAACTGTCGGTCAGTATTTAAGTTCACATTAGCCATCTAGTGAATCAAAGTGTTTTCTTTCACCAAGGTGGCTTTGCACTGAGACATTTGGCAGGAGCTAGTGTGTGTATTTTGAACCTGTCTTCCTTCCTCCTACAGTTGTGTCAAGTTTCATGTCCGAATTGTCTCCAGTCAGAGCAGAACTGCTGGGGTTCCTCACTCACGCTCTTTTGGGAGACAGTTTGGCTGCCGAATATCTTATATTACATCTCATCTCTACAGTGTAAGTCCTGTCTGTCTCTGGTGGGGATTTGGGGAGCTGGATGTGGTACAGAACTAAATGTGCACCCAGGTTTATAGCAGCACAGTTTGTAATAACTGAGTTTTGGAAACAGCCTGAATGCCCACCAGCTGATGGATGGAACAAAAAGATGTGGCTTTTTTATACAGTGGAGGCAGAGACAAAGATACTGGGGCAAAGAGAAGGATAAACTTGAGACATTTATAGCTAAATGGATGGACTCTGAGACCACACTCCTAAGTGAAATAAGTTGGACACATATATGTAAATACCATGTTACCTGTTTAGTGTGAGAAACTGAAAGTGCAAATAGGAACCAAAATGTGTAATTAAAGTTGGGCTGATGGTGCACCTACAATCCTAGCACTGGGGAGGCTGAAGCAGAAGGATAATTGCAAGTTAGAGACCAGCATGGGCTACAAAGTAAGATCAAGGCCAGCCTGAACTGCATAGTGAGTTTTATGTCTCAAAAAGACCAAAAAAAGTATAATAGATACTGTGGAATAAGAAGAAATTGTTCAAAAGGAAAGAAGAAAGAATTGAGGATAAAATGGAAACAAAGTTTTGTAAATGAGGAGAAGTGAAGAGGAAAAAAATGGGAAGAAAGAGAAACTAAGACATATCATGTACAGATATCTAAATGATATCAGTAAACTTAAAAACTGGAAAAGATCAGGACACTTTCTGATGTAATTAATGTTTCAGTTCAGGCTTCATTAAATTGTTTGGTTCAGGGTAATGTGTTAAACCAAATCACAAGTAATCCTTTTGTTAACCTTTTTTCAGATTCACATTTAGCATTTTCATTATGTGCCCTTAGATGTTAGAGCCAAAGTCACATAAAGACTTGGCTGACCAGCAAAATGTAAGCTCCAGCCTTCCTGTTCATCTTGTCTGTCTCTTCTCTTCCTCTTCTTTTTCCTCCTTTTTCCTATTCTCTTGTCTCCCCTCCCCTTTCCTCCCCTCTCTTCCCCCTCCTCTTCTCATCTCTTCTTTTCCTATGGGGCTGGGATCACATGCAGGGCCTTGGGCATGCTAGGCAAGCACTCGACCACTGACCCACATCCCCAGCCTCCTTTTGGTTTTTTGAGTTCTGTTTATACAGAACAAAGCTCTGCTCCTAAAAAAAGTCAACAAAATGATCTGCACATTTAATTCGTATGTTGATATTAGCACCTCACCTTTTGACTCCATTGTGGTTTTTTCCTGATTTCAACAGGAAATTGTGTTCTGCATCCAAGAACACAAAAAAGAAAATAACATTGGTCTGAATCTCACCACTGAGCAGTAAATGTCACTTACCATTTTGGTACTTGTTTATTTTTTAGTTTGTGTATGTGTACCGAGTATACCTACACAGATAGCATCTATATTCCAACTGTATACCTATATCTTGCTCTGGGTATTTATTATCTATAAAATATTTTGCCATAATTCTTCATGAACTTTTCAGTGGCTGCATTTTTATTTCATTGTGCATTTGTCTCATTTGTATCCATGTCCCTTCATGTTATGTTTTCCTAGTTTTTCTCTATAATAAATAACACTTCAGTGAGCATCTTGGTCCTATGAATCTTGCACTAGGTGGGATCTGAGACAGCAAGTACATAATAGTTGATTTTCAAATGCTCACTTTGTTGCTTCATGTTGCTAGATGAGTGTGTTGCAAGCTGAGCATCCCTAAGCCCAAAACTCAAAATGCTCCAGAGTCAGAAATACTTCAGGCGCTGACATTACGGAGCATTCAGATATGCAGCCAGTAAAGTGTGTATAAATACTCCAAAATCTAAAACACTCGTGGTCACCTGCATTTTGGATAAGGGATAGTTACCCTGAACTTAACTCTAACCCTCATATTTCTCATCTGTAAAACAGTTATTTCCTAGTTTGGAGTGTTTGGAGATGTGATGAAAATGAGGGGCTGAGAATGCAGCCCAGTGTTTGCATGGTGTGCACACGATGCTGGGTTGATTCCCAGTACTGTAAAGAAGCAAAGGAAGGAGGAAAGAAGAAAGGGAGGAGGCTATAAGCATTCAGAATCATCCCTGGTGTGTGATCAGCCTTTATAGAGAAGCATTGATTTTTTTTTTTTTTTTTTTTTTTTTTGAGACAGGGTATTTTTTGAGACTATGTATTTCATACTCAACCTGAAGTCACGTTGTAGCCCAAACTGTCTTCAGATCTTGTGGCGTTCCTCTTGCCTCAGCCAAGTACTGGGATTACAGGCTTGTGCCACCACGGCCAGCATTGGTTATCATTTTAACTGCTGTTGTAATACATAAAATAACTATTTGGAGTATTCTATATTTTAATGGCAATATTAAGGGAATTTTTATTTATATTTTGTGGTAATCACTTCAATACCTTTATTAATTAATTAATTTTTTTCTTCCCCCTAGGTATACAAGAAGAGATGTTCTTCCACTAGGAAAATTTACCATGAACCTGAGTGGTTGCCCACGGAATAGTACCTTCACAGAACACTTATATCGAATTATTCAACATCTTGTTCCAGCAGTAAGATCAATATAAATAGGAATTATAAACCTGAGTGTATAGCAAATCCATCTAATTGCTTTTTATTCAATCAAAATGTTCTAACTTTGAGATTTTAATAGCGTTCATTTACAGGAAAACAATGTTTGTCATTACATAGTTTAAAATGTACAGTCTCCTAACATTTCACTTTTATTCCTTAGTAAAAATTTTTGTGAGGCTAACAACACAATTAGAGTAACTCCTTTAAAATTGTACTCTCTGTTAATGCCAAGTTGTGCGACATAATATTCTTTGTATGCATTAGTCTTAAATATGAATAAGCTCTAAGTTATAGGAACCTAATTCTTTTAGCTGAGGTAATATAGATCTTTATCTTCATTGCCCCAGTTTTAATTCTTGGTTGGAAAGTTGAGCTGTGTTTATTTCCCAAGACGTCTGAGTGCAGTGTTTGTGTACAGCAGGATTTGGGAAGCAGGGGAACTGCTTCTGATTAGGCATGTGCCTGACAACACTGTTCCCCTCTCACTTTGAAAACTGAATTGAGCCAGCCTAGCCACTCATCCAGTTGTCAGGTTTGTAGAGCACCCAAGTACCAGCACTACTCAGGCCCTTCAGAAGCAGCACTTCTCCCTCCGAACAAAATCTCGAGAACTCAAAGAGCTGTGGAGTTTACTTTTTAATTTCCCACATTAGAAATTAAAATTGAAAATGTTATACTAATTCAGTAGAAATAATTGCATGTATACATTTTTATATAAAAACTTCCCAAACCAAAAGTATTAGTAATAACTCACATTTCTTTTACATTTTTATAAATCTCTTAATATCTAGATTAATAGGAGACCACTAGATTTTTATGTGTGTTTCCACATTACATCTGTTGTAATATGTGTTTTTATTGATGTGTTTTCTTAAATGGTCCTTAAATTACGGAATCTGAAAGCCTATCAGTGAAATTTTCATGTTCTTTTGTAATAAAATTCATTGGTCTGTCTTGCACAATGAGAGAATTTGAATTAAATCGTGATTTTTATCCCATAAACCCCATAAAAGAGTCTCAGCATTTCCCTTGGCCCTGTACTGCTTTTTGGGAACTAAATCTGTATGGTAGGTCATTGAAGTGCCCTGCAGAATAGCAAACCCTCAGGAGATGCAGGTAGAGAATACTAGCAGTGTACTAGGAGGAGCTGCTAGTGCCCGTGGCCTGGGAAGGTAGCTGGGGTGGTGGTTAGGAACCATGTATAGAGCAGTAGGACCACACCTAGAGGCTGCTTAGAGGAAGCTCTGTCCTGTGGAGAGAACAGCACCAGGTGCTGAAGAGCTGTGTGTTTGCCAGTATGAGGCTGGAGGGCGTGGCCGCCAACTACATTAGTTTGTTCCTCTTTTTGAGACAGGGTCTCACTAAGCAGTTCAGGATGGCCTTGAGCTCACTTTGTACCCAAGGTTGGTCTCAAACTTACAGTGCCTCAGCCTCCTGAGTTCTGGGACTACAGGCATACACCACCATGCCCGGCTAAACAGAAATTATTTTTTCCAGTACCGGGAATTGAACTCAGGGCCTCACACTTGCCAGGCAGGTGCTGTGCCACTGAGCTACATCCCTGGCCCCTCCAATACCATCTTCATAGAATCATTGAGCCAGCGTACAAAAGTCCTAAATTTTGGTTCTGTTTTACCCTTTCCTGAATAAGCTTTCCTGCTGCCTCACACAGTTCTTTTATAGCTCACATGGTAGAAGAACAGAGGGCCTAGAGCAGGGCGAAGGGGCATGCGGGGTGAGGGGCTTGGCAGTGGAGACAGCATCGCTAGCTTAGCAGATTCCAGTGCAGTGGAGCCATCAGTTAGAGATCCGCGGCACCGAGCCATGGCTGTGTATTCTCCTATTCTTTGCTACAACAATTTGTTCAGAAACTTGCACACTGGTTTATGATGAATAAATATGGTAGGGAGCTAACTAGGGTTTGAATCCAAGACCTTGTGCATGTGTCACTGAGTTACATCACTTGCCCTTTTTATTTTATTTTATTTTTGTCTTTTTGAGACAGGGTCTCTCTGGGCAGTTCAGGCTGGCCATGAGCTCACTTTGTAGCCCAGGCCGGTCTCGAACTCCCAACGATCCTCTTGCCTCAGCCTCCGAGTGCTGTAATTACAGGCATGAGCCACCACACCCAGCTATTGTCCTTTTTATTTCCAGGCGGGGTCTCAGTTGCCCAGGTTCACCTTGAACTTGCCATCCTCCTGCTTCAGCCTAGTGCATAGTGAAAACTACAGGCATACACAACTATACCAAGCTTTTCTTGATAAAGTTTTGTTTTCTGTTTTGCTAGCTCATGTTTGGTTAAGGAAGTTCAGCCTCGGGATGTCTGAAACTCAGAGGGCAGTTGTCTGTCATTTGTAGACATTGGCAAAATCAAAATCATTCTTCAAGACTGTTGGACATGACATTTGAGAATAAAGGCAGCACGTTGAGTGAAAAACTAATGCACAATACAGATAATATTTTTGTTTCTAAGAGTTCCAGAAACCAGATCAGTCTGCCTATAGATATTTATAAGATCATTTTATCTGAAACATTGTTTTAATTCAAATTTCTGTATTTTATTAAAACAGAAACAGATCCTTGCTCATTAAAAAATCTCTTGCAGTCTTTCCGCCTACAGATGACTATAGAGAACATGAACCATTTGAAGTTCATTCCCCATAAAGACTACACAGCCAACCGCCTGGTCAGCGGGCTCCTCCAGTTGCCCAACAACACTTCGCTCGTTGTTGACGAGACCCTGCTGGAGCAGGGACAGCTGGACTCCCCAGGTGTGTACATGGAGGTCCCTCCTTTCTGACTTCCCTTATTAAAGTCAGGTCTGTCAAGAATTTTTAAAAGGATGTCTGTAGATGAAGACAAATTCAACAGATATTTAAGGAAAAGTCTTGGCATATGCACTTGATTAAAGCATATGTGGTAAACTAAATGTGCTTACCAGCTTTCCGTCACCGAATTCTGAAAACAGTGCAGGGGGAAAGTACTAATTTAAGGGCTTACATGGGAAGTTTTGCCTTTAATTATCTGTTAGCTCAAAAGAGAAAAACTATAGAAAAATCTAATAGAACGTTTATACCTCATGGATTTTTTTCTTCTTCTTTCTTTTTTTTGAGACAAGATTTTACTAGTCTTCAATTATGTAGCCCAGACTGGCTTCAAATGTGAGCTTTTAAAAATATTTTTTAGGGTCTGGGAATATAACTCAATCTTGAATGCTTGGTTTGCATCTGGTAGACCCTGCATCCAGTCCCCAAAACTATTCAATCAAGCCAACATTTTTCAGAGCATCTCTGGGAAACATTTAATAGATCAGATTTGAAATAACCTCAGTTACAGATATGCTATAAAGTCATAATAGAGTACCAGGCATGAGGGCATATTCCTATATTCCCAATTACTCAAGAGGCATAAGCAAAAGGATTGCAAGTTCAAGTCCAGACTGGGCAACTTAGTGAGTTCCTGCCTGAAAATAAAAACAAGTTTTTAGAAAGGATGGGGAAAGAGAGTGCTCAGCAGTAGTGCTTGCCCAGCAGGCATGAGGTCCTGGGTTGATGCCTTAGAGCACACACACACACAAAACAGAGTGCTCAGATGAACGGACTACAAGATGACATTTGCTGGTAATAAGATCAGTAGTAAAGAGAGAAGGAGGTAAGTACAAAATCATCAAAACTCAGTACCCTCACCTACATACAGAAATAGTTACAGTTCCACCATGAGGTCAGCCCTGTGACCTCGCCCCCAGGAAGTGGTTTTACTTGCTGAGATCCCATTTTTGCCTGGTAGAATATTAAACACTAGGTATTCGATTTGGGGAACATTGAGCTTAGTGACATTCAGTTTAGTATAATGATCCACTCTGTGCCTCATATCCTTTCTATGAGCATTAGGAACCTTGTGTCTTGTAGTCATTGTTAAGTAACCCCATCTGTGTAGGTGATTAAACTCAAGTAGCTGAAACTTAAGGTCTTGCTCCTGCAGGTGTTCATAATGTGACTGCCCTGAGCAACCTGATAACCTGGCAGAAGGTGGATTATGACTTCAGCTATCACCAGATGGAATTCCCCTGCAGTATCAATGTTCTCATCACCTCAGAGGGGCGGTCACTCCTCCCGGTACCATGGGTCACTTTTAAATGGAAGGACATGAATTTGGGAAAGATAGCAATGTATTTGTTATTTCTTGGTGGTGATTAATAATCAAGGAGGCAGTTATTTTGGTCCTGCCTTGGGGGTAAAAACTTACATCTGTCAAGAACTATGTATCAGCAAATCCCATGATTACCAAAGCTGTTGGTAGCAGAGCTTTCTACATCTCGGCATGAAACGTAGAAGCTATGTGTAAATTGCCTGATTTACTTCCAAGCACTATTCTTGCTGCATCTGTCCTATTTCCTGCCTGTTTCAGGTGAAAATATTCTGAGTTCCTTCTAAAATATCCCTCATCACTTAGTAGTGAGGTTTTGCTTTATGGTGAAGTACTGTGTTTATCAGAATGTCTTATTGGAGTTCTGAGGATGATGAGAAATAACTCTGAAGCATTTAAAAAGTGTGTGGTTTGCACAATAGTATTTACCTGTGGTTAAGAAACACCTGTTGACTAAGAATGAAATGGCTGATTGGTAACTTTTCTGTGGAAAACTATGAGAGCTTGCTTATCTTTTTAAATGCTTATATACCATTGAGAAAACATAAATAACGAAGAAAAAGCCAGCTGTAACTATTATGGTGGTACTTACAGTGAGTGTAAATACTGAATACTGATTCTTGACACCCCTCCAATAGTATTTAGTGATTTCTATAGGAGCTGAGAGTATGAATCCTTCTTAAAACATATGGAGGAGCCTGGAAAATTTTACATGCTATTTTTCCTTTCAGGCAGACTGCCAGATCCACTTACAACCCCAGCTAATTCCACCCAACATGGAGGAATACATGAACAGCCTTCTCTCCACAGTGCTGCCTTCCGTGCTGAACAAATTCCGCATCTACCTGACCCTTTTGAGATTCCTGGATTACAGCATATCTGATGAAATAACGAAGGTACTTTCAGGATAAATCAAGGATTTCCCTGTGTTGAATTACTGTTTAACCCAATTCACATTTCTGTAGTTATCAATAAGGTGAATTTGCTATTTGTGTTCTTTATCTTTCCTTTCTTTTTCTGTCTAGTCTCCCTTCTTTTGCTTGAAGTAGGCTGAGTTGGTTTTTGTTTGGTTTCTTTTAGACAGGGTCTCCCTAAATGGGCCACACTGGCCTTAAGTGTAAAAGCCTCTTCCTCCACCCTCCTGAGTGTTGGGATTACACATGTGCACTACCATGCCCTAAATTTCTTCACTTCCTCTTCTGTGTGGTACTCTCATTGTACATTGTATGTTGGCGCACTGAATGATAGCCAGGCATCCTCCATGTGAAGTTACATAAAGACAGCCTTGCACATGTGTTCCTCCAGGAAGTCACCACACAAGTCAGGTGGTGGATGGTGACAGTTCCCTGGGATGGGGCATTGAAGGAACCATGACCCGGAGCTACTGTTTTTTAAAGTTGTACCAGACCTGCAGGGAGAGGTGGGTTCTGGGAACTGCAAATTCCGATGCCATAAAGCTCAACGTTCTTCTCAAGAATCACCTGGTTTCCTCAGATAAATGCTCCCCAGATTGCAGGGTTTAGTTTATTTCCAGCTTTTGAAAAGGCCGATTCTGATCCTCATTCTCTGAAACTATTGCTTCCTTGTTTGAAGGCATTGTATTTATTATACAACTTGCACAACCTTCTCAAGTGAATCAGAATTTTTTTTAAAAACCATCTGTATCCTTTTTCATATATGTAATATTCTCTCTCTTTTACCCATGAGTCTCATTTGGCTTCAAGGCAGGCAGACACCATCATTTTTACATCAGGGAACATTCAGTGCTTCTTACTCCTTCCAAAAATAAGAAAATGGCAATAAGTACATTTGAAGTTTTTAAGGAGTCCCTAACCCTAAAATATATTTACTCTTCATAAAGGCAGTTGAAGATGACTTTGTGGAGATGCGCAAGAACGACCCCCAGAGCATCACTGCGGATGACCTCCACCAGTTGCTTGTGGTAGCTCGGTGAGTAGTCCTGGTTCCTGATTGCTTTTTCTGTAAGTCTTCAGATTTATGCAGCAGTAGCTGAGGCAGACTTCAAAAAACAGAAGCTTTTCTCTGAGGAGGAATGCTTTGGTCAGTGGTCACCACAGGGAAGCAGACTTGCGCCCTTCAGAGATTCCCTTGGGGAAATCTTAAATGTGTAACTGTCAGATAGTATTGCCTTCTAACTTGGGTATGTTTTTTAAAAGTATTTCTAGCCAGGTAGTGATGCACACTTGTACTGCCAGCACTCTGGAGGCTGAGACAGGAGGATCACCATGAGTTTGAGGCCACTGGGCTACATAGTGAGTTTAAGGCCAGCCTGAACTACATAGCAAGACCCTGTCTCAAAAATTAACAAAAAAAAGTATTTCTAGGTCTTAAAACTCACTTAGCATACTAGCTGTAGACTTAAATTTGTTTGTTTCAAACCAGGTTCCTCTCTCTCAGTGCTGGTCAGACAACACTGTCACGAGAACGATGGCTAAGAGCTAAGCAGCTAGAATCTTTAAGAAGAAACAGGCTTCAACAACAAAAATGTGTGAATGGAAATGAACTTTAAAGTTCTGATAGCCATGGCGATTGACGAGCAGACGGTAGCCACTTTATTGTAAAACTCAAGTCATTTGTACCACATTGTTTTATAGATAATTTGTACCAAAAACCAATGACTTTTCCTAAAGTCAGGCCTGGTAACATCTGAAGTTTATATGCTATCTCAGTAAGGGCTTTTACCTTACTGATTTTATGGAGCTTTTGAAGTTTGTTTTATAATATAAATCAGTTACAATGTACAAAAATGTATTTGATATTAAAGTTTAATAATAATGATGTTGTTGATTATACCATTTCCTTAGCTGCAGCCAAGTCATGGGCCAGATTCTGTTGAAATGCTGTTAACTTCATTTGAAGAAAATATTTGCAGTTTCAAAGTTGAAGGAATCTTGCACCTCAGATTTCTGTGTCTTTCCATTGAATAGCGGTGTCCGTATGTTCAGGAGTCCAGGGTTTGGGGGATGGGGCACACATGCCATGGATTCACATGTGAGGCTCCAAGACAACTGGCATCCGACAGCAACTTCTTTCACCTAACAGATAACAGCCCATAAAACTAGCCATTTACACAGAAACGGTTCCCAAACTTAAATTTCATGAACCATCAATATATTTTTAAAAAGGGTTGGGGGGTAATATTGCCTATCTTTTTGATAGGTAATCAGAAAGAATTCACTTTATTATCACAAAAGGATAAACTCTTCGTAGTGTGGGGACACATACCTGTAGTCCTGGAGTGCAAGACCAGGCTGGGCAACTTGGTGACTTTGTCTCAACATGAAAATCTAAGAAAAGGACTAGGGATGTGGCTCAATGGAAAGGCCCTAAGTTCAATCCCCACACACACCGAAGGTTTGGTTTTTCCCAGATCAAAAGAAAGTTCTTTAGATGGAATAAATGTAGTTTTTTGCAGAGCACTACATTGTCTTCATTTCTTACTGTGTTCCAGTGCACTGAAAGCCACTGTGTAGGGTTCACTTAAAAGAACACTGCCCCATGAAGTTTAAAAAAACAAGCTCTCTTTAGAAAGTTTGGTTGTTGACAGTGCTCTAGATCAAGCCCACAAACTCTCTCACATGCTAGGCAAAGCCTATCCCAGGGGGGGCAAACCTGACATTGAAATCACAAAAAGGTTTGCCATGACTGGCCCTATACCAGTGAGATACTTCTCCAGCCCAGAAAATGGAAGACATTTTCCTGATGTCATTCGGTTGCTTTGAGGATATTAGATTTTGATTTTTATGTAAGTTTACCAATTCCCAGTGTATGAGTTCACAATCTGCCAGTCCAGTAAAGGCCTGAGACAATTACAGGTAAGCTTTCCCCAGCCTCCATTAGTTTTGATATAGTTTATTTAAGGAACTAAATACCACCCACAGTGCAAATTACTGTACCATAGTGGTGTAATTGTGCCAGCAAGAACCCTCAGAAAGGTCAGATTACTTTTTAAAGATATCAGTGTGTGTAAAGATTCATTTCAGTCAATAACTTACCTAGCTGGAAAACAAATGATTCCTTAAGTTTTTTTTCCCATAAGGCTGGCTTACATTGACACTGCTAACCAAGGAAACAGGGTCAGCCTTGAAGAATCAAGGAGTTTATTATGCTTAGTGAAGGGAAGTAATAATTAGCTAGTTCAACATTCTCTTCCTAAATTCAAATCTATTTTTATAAACTAATGTACATAATGTTTATATTAAAATTCTAACTGGTTTTCATTTTTATAATTGGTAGACTAGAACTTTTAGAAATAAAATGAAGGCTCAACTGGATTTGTGAGAATAAGATTTTTTGTCCTAGAACAGAGTAGATGAGCTACCATTGTGTCTAACTGTGCCATATAAAATGTAATCTACCAAAGAGAAATCATAATTTTGCTTGATCTTGCAGAGAAGTTCCAATGCAGTAAATAAACCTTCTCAAATTACCAGTACCTTAAGCTGTTTTTTATGAATTCTAAGATTCACTGTAATGTTCTGTGTGGGAAAGCCCCATGTTCTTAGAAAAACATTATAAGGGTAAATTGAAGGACGGGTGGTGGGACAGGATGGTGTTCTATCCCAGTCCCATTGCTCCTTTGCCTGTATGTAGGGATGTTCTAGTTTGCTGGTGATCCTGTTTGAATGATGTGGAAACCACGGATATAGCATATCCTTGTTTGGAACTAAACTGCCTTATGATAACTAGTTTTCAAAAATCTCTTTGGAATTCATTTTTCTGGAACATGAATATGCATTATTTTCTCACCTTGGCTTGTATTTGTTTGGTGGAATGGAATAATTTGCAAGACCCAAAAGTTGGTAAGAAGAGAATAAAGCATTGTTTTAAATAAATATATGAAATTTAAAATGTTGTGATTTTCTAAAATCATGAGAAACTTTAAAATAACTGAGAAAGTTCACAAGTGTTCAATTATTAGGTTACCTTATTCTTTTATCTAAAATCAAGCCCTGGCTGTGGTAGGGCATGCCTGTAACCCCAGCACTCAGAAGACTGAAGCAGGAGCGTCGCCTTAACTATATAGAGGCCTATCTCAAACAAAACAAAACCCTTAAAATGTTACACAAAGAATACTCACACTGTCACTTGAAATTACTAGTACTTTAATAGTCACAAGATTTGACACTTCAAAAAAACACCACTAATAAATAACCAAAATGGAATGCTTATCAAAGTTAACATACATCATGTTCAGCTGAGAATCACTTCAACAGAGTAAGGCTCTAAAAATACCAGAGAAGCCAACACTCGCTGGACTGTGCTGTGCAGCTTTCTTCCTGTGTGGGTCCTACAGGAGGCCTCGGCACTCTGGTTAGGATTATCATCATAAAACCTGTTTTTAGGCAACAGTCAGTGTTTCAAACTGAATTTTCAGTAGTTGGACAGTATGCACAAGATGCTGAGGAATATCCTCTTGGAAAAATTAAAACTTGAAGACTTCCAGAAATTCTAGTAGCCAATACATTCTTTTTTTTTCTTTTTGTCTTTTTCCTTTTTATCAGTACTGGGGATCAAACTTACGACTGCCTGCTTGCAAGGCAGGCGCTTATGCCACTGAGCTAAATCTCCAACCCCATAGCCAATACATTCTTAAAAAGAGAGCAGATACATTTGATGTACTGGGTTTACTTTATGACGGGCAAGTCAGTGTGCCTCAGTTTTGAAGACCATCGACAGAATAATCTGTTCATGTAGAACATGGGGAGCATTTGGATCAAATGATTTTTTAACTGTAGAATCAATAATCCTCAATTCTTCACAGGGAATGGTTAGCCAACAAAATTTTTTTAAGTATTCATATGCTTCTCCATACTAAATTCACTAAAAACTAAATGGTTTACTTTGTAGAATACATAGGAATGAACTGACCAAAATGTTACTTTCAAATGGGCCCCTCATGTCTTCTTCCTATTCTTAACTCCACCCCACCCCACCCCCTAAAAAAACTACTTCAGGTTCTGTATCAAAATGACCTGGTCCTGAATTACTGTCAAATGAACAGATTGCTCTATAGTTCTGTAGTGCATATGCTATTCAGGTCTACACAAATCTAGGATGACACTTCCTAGATAGTCTTGGCTCTCAAATCTGGAAATGTGTTCTAGTTCAGACTCCTTTGAAAACCAGAACTGGTAATCCCTAGATTCAAACAGTAAAAGTTAAAATAGCCTAATACGTGAAAATTTAGAATTTTCAAATAAAACCCACAAGACTCTGACTAAATCTGGATTATTCGTGTCTGGCACTGTGTAAACATATTTTTAAGTTCATTTTGTTGGACTTCATTAACTACTTCGGGTTCTGCAGGACTCTTCTGAACTTTTGCTACTGCCAGGTTTATCCCATGGGTTAACCCAGCTTGGGTAATACTAGCAACCTGGACCATGGAGCTGCGAATCTTTGCAAAGGGAGAGACTACTCTGCTGCTACTGCTCTCAGAAGGGGAAGGAGTTACACGAAGCCCCGTCTCAAGATCCATGCCGAGACCAAAGCTGGGGGTCTTGTGAGATGAAACTGAGTGAACTGGTTCAACTGTCAAAAACTGAGGTCCTGTCCCAGAAGACACATCTAAATGAGAAGGCCGAGAAGGTGTCTGTTCTGTTGATTCTGACTGAGTTTCCTCATTAGAAACTTGATTGGTCATTCGATTTTCTTCCTCACTAGCTTGCTGAGACACAGAACTGGTCTCTGACAGTTGAGTCATTTTGTTCTGTGCATCTTGGACAAATCTGTGGCAGTAAACATCCATAGACTTAGTAAAGCCTGTGTGTACGTTGTCAGCAGATGGACTCCTGTTCCCAGAAGACTGCTGGCCTCTTCCAAGCCCACTTCCACAAGCAACAGTAACCTCTGAAGGAGCATGAATGCTGATATCAGTGCTGCTAATAGACTGAGATCGACTGCCTAATCGAGGTGCTGAAGCAATAATACCACAACTAGGAAGGACATAATCGATTGGCCCTACACTCTCTAATATATTAGTTAGCTGCTTGTCTTCATCCGACCTGGAATTGGTAAGGAATTCATCGGAGTGGTAGGAGTCATCTGAAGACACGTCCTCGTCAGACTCTCTCTGGACCTTACCATCCATCACTCCTGCGTTTTCTATAGTCTCAAGACTACTATCTGATTTCCAAACGCTGACTTTTAAGTTTGGCTTGAGAAAATTAACTTTCATTTCAGGCTTTGTAAAGTTTCCTAACTTTCTTAGGTTGCCAATATTTACACTGGATTTGGTCTGTTTCACTTTTTGATTTAGAGAGGAAAATTTGCTCATTAAAAAATTCTTCCCCTGGGCCAAAGAGCCTTGGTTCTGAGATCTGATGCCAATGATTTCTTCATGAGGTTTACTGCTCTTCCTGTAAATTAGAAGAAAAAAGTATCAGTTCCCTATGGAGTTCACTATACCTGTTCTAATTAATATAAATAAAAATGCTTCACTTTAAGTTGATTCCAGTTTTCCTTAGAACAGGGCATTGCTAACATCTGATAAATCATATAACCCACCCCTCTCAGCTTGTTTTGGCTTGTGGTTAGATGCCCCCCCCAAAGCCTCAGGCAGTCATAAGTGGGCCTTCTGGATATGGATGGTTCTAGCTAGGATGTGTGGATTAAGTGTGTGACACTGGGATTAAGAGTGGTTTATCACAGTTCTAGGCATGGGTAATAGGAAGCCACACATAGGTGGGGGTGGCACCACCCAAAGGACTTGAAGCCTGGACACACTAAGGGAAAGGGAAGCTGTTTGCTGCCTCCTGCCTGTCATATCATGAAGTTTCCTCTGCCATGCCATCCTGCCTTTGAGCCAGCTGACTACAAACTGAAACCTCTACAAACTGAACCAAAAGGAGCTTTTGTCCTTTTATTTTGGGTTTCAGATATTTTGTCTCAGAAATGAAAGACAGAATTGATGCTGAAACATCACTAATGCAATAGAAGTGTATGAACTATAGATGTAATTTTAAATTTTCTAGCAGCCACATAAAAGTGTCAATTAACTTTAATAACATTTAACCCAATATATACAAAATATTATTTCAATATGTAATCAATATAAAAGGATGGTTAGTATTCTTTTTTTGCACCAGTCTTTAAAACAGCCCATGTGGTGTAGCTTGTATAGTTACCAGACACCTGCATTCAGACTAGGCACATTTCACAAGCTTCACACTAGCATATACTGTTACGGGCAGTGCATGTCTATCACACGCATCTAAAGCGGCAAAGACCTGGCTGGCCACAGGTAGCATCTTCAGTGTAGCATTGAGCTGTCCAGACATGTGGCAGATTGACTGAATTTACAGAGACAAAGGAAAGATGGTCAAAGATTTCCACTTCTTTGTTTCCTAGAGATTACCTGAATTTTCAAAGATTTGCGATATTTAATGTAACTTAGTGTCTTCCCTCCATCATCCCTGTGACAGCTATGAAGTAAGGATAAAGGTCTGGGTGCCATAAGCCACAAATGTCCTTTGTATATACTCATGGTCATGCAGGATCACATATTACAGAAAAAAACAGGTTAGACACCTACTAAACATTTCTCGCTATACTAAAGACTGAACAGTTTTCTTCCAGGGAACACACAGCCATCCTCTAGTGGACTAAACCATGAAGCCTCACTAGTGCCCACTAGGAGGGAAAACCCATAATTTTTTTAAATGTAAAATAATCAGCTGACAAGCATGCTGTCCCCAAAACCCTAGTATATGAAGCACTATTTTCCCTAGCGTACTTATATCTGAATATTACCTGTAGTCAGTTTAATAGTTAAAAATGATCACTTGAGGCCATGTAAGTTGTCTTAGGGTCAGTAAAGCACTGTGCTGCTGGGGTTCCCTCAGGGGTTCCTTTCATTCATATTTCATCATGATTCTTTATAAAACAGCACTTAGCTAAGTACTTGTGGAGAAGGTATTACTTGGCATACTAATTTTAAGCAAATCCAGATGGATATCCTGAATGTATTTTAAATGCCATGTCACTGAAAAAGAGAAGCTCTTTGAAATTTTTCTGAAGCTAATAATCTCTAAGGTATATTGGGTTAAATGAGCCTTGTAAGCTATTTGGCAATTAAAAAGGGAAATGTTCATACTTTTTAATCTGAATTTCTAATTTGGGGATGCTATTCTCAGGAAATTATCCTTGACATGAAAAACTAATACATGACAAAGACATGGATTTTTGGAAAAGAAAGAAAGGCAGCAACCTACAATTTAGTAAGTGGGTTTAATGCTGTGTACAAGTATTATTCTAAGTGCATTAGCATTCCATCCATGCAATACTTAGAGATAATAAAATTAAAAGCCTATTAAACATATCTTTCCCAAAGTCAGAGGGTAAGCAACAGATTCAGGAGTCAAGAAAGATGGGATAAAAAAACCAAAAAGTTGGGATGATCTTATCATTACACATAGTATAATATACTGAAATATCACTGTACCCCACAGATATGTTTAATTATTATACATCAATTTTAAAAATGGCTTAAAATGTATGGCTGACCAGAGTCCATGTACTGAACCTACCCAATACATTTTCAAACACCAAGTCCAGTCAAAATTACTCTTAAAAACTTTTTCAATAATACATTCTATTTGTACTGTCCAGTTTATTAGGTCTAACATGGCCTATTTTTATTCCAAAGTTAGAAGAGATAATTTTGTTGGAATAGTAGATGTAACAGTTTATAATTACAGGTCTTGTTATTTAAAAAAAAATGGAAGAACTGAGATGTATGTACGTATATTTTTATTGTGACTACATAATAGGTGCTGCACTGTAATGATTTGTGTGACTAGTGTATGGTTCAAGTTTTTTCAGGAATATAGCTAGGAATGGTGGCATACACCTATAATCTCAGCATTCTGGGAAGCTGAGGCAGAAAGATTTTAAGTTTGTATCTAGCCAGAGCAATTTAGCTAGACTCTTTCAAAATAAGAGCTGGTGATGTAGCTCAGTATGAAAGCCCTGGGCTTAATCTCTAGTACCACAAAAATATATAGAAATTTTTCTTTAAAATTACACATGAACTGGCCATGACTGATTTTTATATAGGCCTATTTTACTGAAGAAATGAGTCATGCAAAAAAAATGTAGCTGGCAGGGACCAAAAGAAAAAATTGCTCCAAGGGGTAACACATATTGGAAGATATTTTTACAACTAAGCATCTTAAAGTTTTCTGTATATGTATGCAGGGGTGCAGGTGGGGTACTGGGAATCAAAGTCAGGACCCCGTGCTTGCCAGGCAGGAACTACGCCAAGTTTTCAGTCCACTGATTCAGACTTCCCTTTTAGAAGAATTCCAACTAACAAGTGTGGAATGGGGGAAAATCACCACTATATTACTACAGATAAGATCCCTGCAGAAAGTTCATGTTGCTACCATGGTGTTCTTTCCAATAAACTAACCTCAGCTAAATCAAGAAAAAATGTTAGGCCACAATTGAAGGATGTTCTACCAAATAACTAACCAGTACTCTTGAGAAGTGTCAAAGTTATGAAAGACAAGGGAAGATTTAAAAAAACTAACACTCCAGAGGGAAAACCAGAGTCAACACACCTAAATGTAATGTGTGATCTGGGGTCTTGGAACAGAAAAAACATACTAGTGAAAAAGCATACTGGTGGAATCTAAATTCTATATTTTGGTTTAATAGTCTTCTACCAAGGTTAATTTTTTAGTTCTGATAAATGCTCTGTGGTTACATAAAATGATAACAGGGGAAACTGAACTAAGGGCATATTTAAAAATGAATTGTACAACCTTTTTTGTAGGTTTTTTTTTTTGTTGTTTTGCTTTTCAGACAGTTTCACTGTGCAGTTGAGGCTGGCCTTGAACTCACTGTGTAACCCAGACTGGCCTCAAACTTGTGGAGAGTCTCCTGAGTGTTAGAATATAGGGGTACATCACTACAACTGTAGTGCAACTCTTCCAAGTACAAAATTATCTTTGGCCAGGTGTGGTGGGGCACGTCTGTAATCCCAGCACCCAGGGGGCTTAGGCAGGAGGATTACTGCAAGTTCAAGACCAACCTGTGCTACAAAGTGAGTTCAAGGCCAGCTTGAACTACATAGTGAGACACTGTCTCAGAAAGACCTCTCTCCCATCCTGGCCAAAAAATCTGAGAAGTTATATAGCAATACCGTATTAATTTTGGTCCACAGAAATTCAATACTTTACCCCCTTAAACCACCAACATATCAAAATAGTATGGTCACCCTCACTTCCTTTGAAAATACTTTTGGTGGAGGAGCAGTACTAGGAATTGAACCCAAGGCCTTTGTCCTGAGCTATATCCCCAGTCTTTAAAAAAAAAAAAAAAAGAGGGTCTCGCAGTCTCTAAACTGCCTAAATTGGGCTTGAACTTGTAATCTTCTTGTCTCAGACTCCCAGAGGGCTGGTATCACAGGCGTGCACCAATATCTATGGCTTATGTGTTTATTATTAGTTGGAAAGATCCTAAAGAAAGCTTTTTTTTTTTTTGGTACCGGGAATCAAACTCACGCCATGCACTTCCAAGGCAGGCACTTCTGCGGTGGAGCTAAATCCCCAGCCCCAAACCTAAAGAAATCTTAACAGGAGTGGTGCACTCACCTCTCAAGTTTTCTCTCGATTATGGGCACATCCAGGCCCATAGCTTGCTTAGTGATCTGCAACATCTCTGCAATGCACTGAAGGGTGTCTGAAACCCAAATGTAACTACTTGTAAGTATCTCAAAAAACACAAAATACAACTGTTCTAATTTACACATGCCTGACTGATATCTCTTGTCATGCACTTAAAGGTAAGTTTATTTGCTGCAACTTACAGAAAATTGCTACTTTTTCCCCTCCCTAAATCAAAGTATTCTAAAACAAATCTTTAACAGCAGAGTAAAGCACAAGTACAAAACAACAAACAACTGAAATTAAGAGTTTGGTGTAATTCACATTTGTCCAAGCACTGTGCCAGATACTGAGGCAACAGCTGTGGATGAGATTGTTGGGTGGCTGCTCAGAGCCTGTTGGCAGGTGGGAAAGCCTAAGCACCCACAGGGCTTTGAACAGAGGCACGTGCATTAAGAACTGCTGCCACAGAGACCCTTGCCACGAACTCCCTAATACACCCAAATTACCTCTCTGTGATCCTGAGAATAGAACTGCCTCATGAAGTCTCAGGTCATAAACCTGCTCCCTGCATCAGTTCTCATGCCACTGGCATGTCCCAATTCCATCTGAACTTATGTGAGCAGATACGAAGTTACCATGGAATACTTTTCCTGTTTTTTTTTTTTTACCTTTTCCATCTTCTTCTGGATTACGTGGTACAGCTCTCAACGTGTGGAAATAACCACTTGCTTCTTTATATCTGTAGTGCAATCGCATGCAGGAAAACTTTGGCTTACCAAAAAGAGTGGGTTCAGGACCTAAATGCCCAAACACAAGTAAAGTTTGTATAATATTCACCTTTTTCTGTAACTTCAAAAGAACAACAATCACCAAATAGGCAGGTAGCACATTTTTCTTCATAATCTTAAATGATGACATACAAAACACAAACTTATCTATCTGATCTGATGAGGCTACAAAAACTCTTCTTCAGTCTCATTTTAAACTTTCTTGATTGCTGACGTTGTCTTAACATGGCAAAAAATGAAAGGAATACAGTAATATTTAGCCATCCACTAATCACTAGAGAACAGAAAAACCAGACAACTTGAAATATCTTTCTAGTTTCTAACTGATGGAACACCACTTAGTTAATCTGACCCATACTTGGCAGTTGAGAATTCTACCACTGAACCACCAATGCAACCAACTTATACAACAGCATCTGAAGCAACAGCATCTGACTTCTTTTGAATTCGTTAGTATGTTAAAATTTACCTATTTCTATTTTTTCCAGATTTTCTAGACTTAGTCGTTGATATTGATTCACTTTATCCACTTCATCATCATAACTAGAGAAAGAGTAAAAAGAGAGTTAAAATAAGAAGCGTATTTGGCTTGTCAGATAAAGAAGTAAGTACACACAGTTAAATCTTTTCTAGCTCAATACATTCTTGAGTAAAGAGTTAAACAGCAATATTTTCAAAACTAGATTAAGCAAAAATAATATATATAGTTTCACAGCTAAAGCATGTTGGTTTATAGCTCTTACACTAAAACCAATTACAATGCAAAAATAATTTGTTGTATAAAAACTTTCATGAGAACCTAAAATGAAGGCAAAATATACACACATATTGAAACCATCTAGAAATAGTATAGTAGAAAACCTGATATCCAAAAATTGAGAAGGGAAACTCCATATGTTCTATGCCACCAAGTATCTGGAATGATGTCTTAAAAATGATAGTTCAAACAAAGCCAAAAATAAAGTAAATGTTTACTTAGAATATTGAAGATAAAATTCAATTCTGATGAAGTATTAGGAAACAAGCATTCTGCTAGTGACATTGTTAACTGGTAATCTGCCTGCAGACAGATCCAAAAACAAACTTACTCCTGTAACCAAAGAGAAGCTGATGTATGGCACATACCCACATGCATACACCATCTATATACAGATAGCTGTGGCATTCACAATAGCAGAAAATTGCAGGTAATGTAATGCCTAACAATGGGCAAACAAATATGGTATGAGTAATATAAACAATGACATATGAACATCAATGATAAAAAATATAGAGTACATCAAAACCAGGAAGATATGGAACACATTGTATAAACATGGATTAATAACTCAAAAATTTCAATCTGATGAAGATAGCTAATTCATGTCAGGTAAAAAGGTTCAATTAAGTTTCACAAATACGTAACAAAACCAGATTTTTAAATTTTTTAATAAATTCTAGAACCAAGTTAAAAATACAAAATTAAAAGCTTTAAATCAATAAGCAACTTACTAGGCCACGTAGTAGGCAGAGTTAGAAAGCAGTAACAGTACATCCACGTCTCTGTGAGTAGCATCAATGAGGCTAAATAAACACAACAGAGGGAATTAGGTATTTTCATTTTCATTTGCATTTTTTGACAAGCATACGCACACAGCATAGCCATTTATGAAAAAGACTGACTGGTGGAAAAAAGAAAACCAAATTATCAATGAATTATATATACTCTGAAGTCAATGTAATCTATCTACTTGGAAAAATTTTAAAATAACAATAAATAAGAATCAGACTTGGGAAATGGGGGAGGTAGAAGGAAGAGCTGGAGCTGAGAGGCGGTCCCTTCACAGAGGCAGCCAGGAATGGGTAGTCTTCAGGAAAATGGGGTACTGAGAGTGGAGAACTGGAAGATGCTAGAAAAGTGGTTACTCAGAAGGAAAAACGGAAAATCTGAGAAGGGAAAAATGGTAATTATCTCACATTATCTCACCTCCAAGTCACACATTGCACATGTAAGGATATGTTTACACTCATATATAAGCAATCTTTTGAGAAGAATTTTACATAAATATAACATTTATGAGCAAAAATGAAACAAGCTTGAGCTACATTCCATTATTCTCATTGTCTATTAATATGCTTGGCTTTCAATGTTCAGGTAAACATTTCCTTAAGACCATTCTGTCATATTTATACCCACCCTAAAATAAAATATTAAAATAAAGGTTAGAAACCAGATGTTGCTGTTAAAAAAAAAACAACCCACATGTAGATAGATGAACCACGAAATCAAAACTACAGTAAAATATCCACCTTTGTAGTATTACTTCAATAGTCAATAACGCAGAATCTGAACTTAAATCAAACTTTTAATCCAATCAATAATCTTTCCATAAAAAGGTGAATCTGTGTTCTTAAAACTGGTCTTGAAATTCCACTGTAAGAGTGGACATGTCTGCCTTAAGATTTCATAGCTATTCACTAGACCTTATCAAAATGCTATTGCAAAACAAATAGTGAAAAATATCATTTGCAGATGGAATTTAAACTTTATTAATCTGCATAAGAATGAGGTCATTGTTTAATGGATACTGCGGAAAAGGACAGATTTTACTAAACTCCTAAACTGCAGGATTTTATATCAGGAGCACCTTCTTGCAGTATAACACAGTCTTATCTAAAATTAATGAATTCACTTAAATTTTCACCTAATATACTGAAAATCAATGAATGAAATGCTACAACCCATAAAATATTGATGAGGTAAAATCTTAGCATTAAGCGACTAATTAATGGTTAAAAAAATCAATGATTCTGCCAGCTTTTCTGAGAATACTCAACAAGGTAAAATGTAGTTTAGTTTTGTGCATTGATACTTACCTGCGTTCTGAAAATTGTCGCTTGATCCAAGCCATAAAAATTACATCACGACACATATTAATATGAAGTAATCTACTACTAATTACAGGGTTACTTTCATCCTATTTTGGCATCAGTTATTTACACCAGTCAAACACAATCCTCAGTCAAAAAACATGTTTTTAACGAAAAGCACTTGGCACGTAACAGGCTGTTGAAAAACGCCAGCCCTCCCCCCCCACCCACATTTTTACTGCGAAGTCTTAGCTGCAGTAAATATTTAATAACCCTCCCAAGCCACCCTCCCTTTTAAAGAAAAAGAAAAGCACGTTTAATACAAACAAGAAAGGAAAAAAAAAAAAAAAAAAAGCCCTGTAGATATTTCCCCACCCCCCAGCGTTTGCAGCTCTTGAAGCTGCTCTATTGATTTTTGTTTTCCCGCCACCGAGGCAAACCCTCTTTCCACACTATAAAGACAAAAATTGCCAGCACCACATGAAGCCCGACCACTGCCGCAATAGTCGCGTAAAAAGCGCTGTCTTCTGGGGACATTAACAACATACTTTGGAAAAGAACTAATTTACAGGAAAAATATAACCCGACAGGTACTTTAACCATAAGTCCTGCAAAAAGGAGAAAAACCTTAAAAGTCATGGCCACAACACCCTCAGACATGGGCTCAGCAGCATTGGTGGCAGCAGCCCGTGGCGCAGGTGGTGGAGGCCTGTGAGACCGTGGCATGGTCAGTCTATCCGTCTGTCCCCCCGTGATTGCTGCCTGGAAGCTTAGTCAAAAACAGCCCGTAAGGATCTTGCCTGCAGCAAATGCAGGAATGCAGCCGCACCAAGTACCGCCCACCACATAGGTCTAGCTTCCGCACCCCCACTTCCGGTTGTGGCCGGCAGCCAGTACGCAGGCGTGCTCAGTCCTGCGTGGACCCCAGCCCTCAGCGGAGAGGTGCTGAGTGGACGGCTCCCGCGAGAGTTGTATAGCGCCTTTCTTAAGGTCAGTACCCGTGGGCACCAGATGTGAGCGAGGAATCGCTGTCGCTCGCGCCTCTCCTAGTGATCAGTAGCTATCACCCTCCTAGGCACTCAGGAAACCGAGTACAAAGGGGCAGTTCAATTGGGGGTACGGGGGAGCAGAAATGGCGCAAAGAATTGGCTTTGTCACGATGCTAAGAGCAGGTCTGCGTCACTCCAGTTTCCACTTAAGATTTCTCTTTCCTGCTGTCACTGAAGTCAGATTGTTTTGGGACAAGAGCGGGGTATGGACTTGTTAGCAGTAGAGGAGGGAAAAGACACGGAAGGCTAGAGAAGCCTGCCCCACACCCATTGCCGGGGGGGGGGGGGGGAGGGGGGGCTATGCGAAAAGAAAGGTCTCCAGAGCTGGGAGAAGGTTCTGGTCTGCCCACTGCTAGCTGGACCAGTTCGGCAGGAGCTGTCTCTGGTGCAGAAATTAAGGTTGTATCAAGGCAGTCATCAGGACAATTTAGAGTGGTATTCTGGATTTTACTGTTGGGTTTTTTGTTTTGTTTGTGAGACAGGATCTCACTAGGTAGTGCAGGCTGATGTTGAACTTAACTATGTAGACCACACTAGCCTCAAAACCGTGGTGATTCTCCTGCCTCTGCATCCAAACCACTACAATCACAGACATGCATTGTCATGCCCTGTTGGAGTAAATACTTTTTTCTTTTCTTTTCTTTTCTTTTGGTACCTGGGATCGAACTGGTGCTTAATCAGGCAAGCACTGGGACTGCTGAGCTAAAAATCCCTGGCCCCTGGAGCAATACTTTTTAAAAATCAAAATAAACGCAAAACTACGATGCAGGGAAATGACTAAAGTTTAAGTAAAAACACTGGATCCACTCTTACATTTGCATAATCCTGCTTATTTGTCTGTCCTTTTCTTGGAAAAACTTTATTTGTAACTCAACAACAAAGAGACCATCCCACTTAAAAACAGGAAAAATATTTAAACAGATACTTTTTCCAAATGAAGTTACAAAAAAAGTCAACAAGCACAAGAATTCTCAACATCACTTGTGATTAAATGAAATCTATAGTGAGATACCACTTCACACCCACTAGGATGATAATCCCCTTAGTGGGAATTGGACCAAGACTTCCAAGTAAACTAGATTTCCAATCCTCTTAAATTTTCAGACACAATCTCACTAAATCTGTTAGGATTTGTGTCTACAACCACCTTTTCACAGGTGGCTGAATAGAGTTGGTGATTGATTTCACGGTCCAACACTGAGATTAAGGATGTGAGTGCTACACCTGCCCTAGGATAGCAAGCCTGCATATAATCTAAGGGACGTTGCTTGGTTTTGCTGTCTTCCACTACCATGAACTAACCTTTCCCTTCTGCCATGTGCCATTGTCTTGGAGCCAGGTGATTATGGACGGAAACCTCTATAAACTGTGAGCTAAATAAACCTTTTCTCCTCAAACTCAAGAGTGTCAGCTATTTTGTTTGAACAATGAGAAAAGTAACAAAGACGTAGAGCCCTTGTTGTGACATTTACCTGGTTATGTGGCTCAAGAGCCTTTAGAACTGGCTTATGGGAAGTGAAAGAGTTAGGAAAGGTTCCAAGATGCCAGCCAAAAAAGTAGAGCTGAAACACATGTATTGTGTGGGAGATTTGGGTCAGAGCTCAGAAAACCAGAAAGCCAGGAAAGACCAGCCTCAGGAGGTTTCTGCTGCATCAGTTTTTAGACTCCAGATGATGTGTGTCATGGCTTGGCAGAAAGTTTGTCCACATTTTGTGCATGTCCAGAGACTCCCTGAGACAGATTATGGGCCATATTTTTTCCAAAGAATATTCAAGATTTTGAATGTTGAGGTGGTGGCATGGCTGCTTTTGGGGGCTTTTCGTCAGATTTATGCTGAAAAATCAAGAGCACAAAGTTCAGTAGAATGACTTAAAACATTATGAGTTTGCTAGAAAGGAAGCTTTGGTAATGCTGTGAACTGTAAAGATAAAGGAGATCTTGATTGCTAAGAAGGAACAGGAGAATACAAAAGATGGCCTGAGAGTATCACAGGTAGCAGCAGGACTCTATCCACAGCAGCCTTGAAACTGCATAAGTGAAAGACTTTACTTTAAGAAAATAGCCCCAGAGCACCATGTTCCAGAACTGCAGTAGTCTAGAGAATCTGTTCCCTTTGGTGCAAAGTACTCAGCAATCCAGGCATTCAACACGTACAGCCAAGAGAGAAGAAAGCCTTGCTACTGCTTCAGCTGGCAGCAGACCCTGGTGTCATCCACGTGGCACTGGTTTTAGGCACATACACAATGCAAGAGTTGTGGGGGCAGGAAAGCTTCCACCCAGTTTTCAGAAGGCCTGGGAAGCTAGATGGTACAACCCTGACAGGGCATTGTGACAGGGCAAAGCTCTAAGTGTGACACTGAAGGTGCACTGGAGACCCCAAAAATTTGGAGAAAACAGGAATATGGATTGTCTGAGAAAAACTGCAACAGAGAGGGCCCCAGAGAGGAGTCATGGGAGCTACAACCATTGGCAGTACCTAAGGGGAAAAGCCGTCCAAGCCCCTTGAGCTTCACATCTTGCCACGGATTGCCTTCTATACTACACATGGAACTACAGGACTTAAATGTTTGCTCTGTGGAATTTTGAGCTTGCTTTGGTCCCATTCCTTTGAATCCTCATGTTTGTAACTTTTAGAATAGAAATATTTATTTTGTGCCACTGAATGTTGTTGGAAGCGTTTAACTTTCTTTTCATTTATACAGGAGTGTGCAACTAGAAGTCTGTCTTAATTCTCAGAGAACAGTTTGGACTTGGACTTTTCAGCAATGCTGAAAATGTTAGAATTTTGGCAACTCTTAGAGATGGACTAAATGCTTTTTGCATAAAGAAATGTACATGAGTTTTGATGGGGCCAGGGAAGAATGGTATGGTCTGTGTCTAGATGTCCCCTCTCAAAGCCTCATGCAATCATGGCTAGTGGGGGGAGAGGTTCCACAAGTGGATGAACCTACAGTTTGTGATTGATTCATGGTTCAATACTAGAATTAAGTGACTGCTAAGAAGGGTAGCCTCCATACACTATAAGGGACATACACTATAAGGCCCTTCCTTCCCTAGATTGCTTTTGCTGTCTTCTGCTGCTGAACTGTTGCCCTCTGCCAAAGCACTCTGCTTTGGAACCAGCTGGTTACGGACTGAAAAACCTCTACAAACTATGGGCTAAATAAATCTTTTTCCCTTTGACTTCAGGTGTTGGGCATTTTGTCTCAGCAACAAGAAAAGTAACTTAGCCATGTAAGACAGTCTCTAATTTTTCCAGGCTGGACTTGAACGTTTGACCTAGATTACAGGTATGCATCACCATGCCTGGCTAACAACTTTTATTAAGAAAGGAAAATAAGTGCTAGAGAAAACTGGAGAATTAGAACCTACATATTTTGCTGGTGCACATTTAAAATGGTACAGCTATGGTAGAACATAGTCTGGCAGTTTCCTCCCAAAAAAGGATGACCATGTCATCTGGCATTGTCTACTCCTAAGTATATACTGGAAAGAACTCAAAACTAGTGTTCAACACAACTTGTACAAAAATGTTCATAACAACACTATTTACAATGGCCAAAAGGTAAAAATAACCCAAAAGCCCATTCACAAAAAAATTTTTAAAAGTGTTAATATCCACTCAACAGAATACTATTGGAATGAGATTCTGATACATGTCACAACATTGAACAGCATAAAAAACACAGTAAGTGAAGTCAGCCAGTCACAGCCATGTACTGTATTATCCACTTATACAAAGTATTCAGAATAGGCAGACAAGGCCCACAAGATAGAAATCACTAGTGGCTGATTAGGGCTGAGAAATAATTAGTGGTTGTTTAGGGCTGAGTGGTTGTTTAAGGCAATACTTGTGATGATGAAAATTAAACATGTGTGTTCAGCTTACCTTGCAAGGAAGGTAGGGTGGGCTCTGCTTTTTTTGAAGTAATCCCCATCAATACATCACAAATACAGCAGTGGGCAAAGGGAAGGATGTTCTGACCCTAACCGTCCTAGCACATATTAGCACATCTTAGATAGCACAGGAGTGTGTAGTTCAGTATTAGAGTGCTTAGTATGTACAAGGCCCTGAGTTCAATCTTAGAACTACCTACATGAATGAGTAACAAGATTGTAAATCAAACCTAGAACATTATCATCTCACAAAATGGTAGCCAGTATGAAAAGTAAACTTTTGTGGCTGGATATGTAGCTCTGTGGTAGAGTGCTTGCCTTCATGCATGAGATCTGAGTTGGATCAGTGGAGTGGGTGCTGGGGAGTGGGGTACAAAGAAATAAACTCTTCGTATTTCCTACTTTCTTTTATCCCAAAATAGAAACAAACAAACAAAAAAGTTATCTAAAGAATTTTAAAAATTGAGGTATAGGGCTGAGAATGTAGCTCTGGCAGAGTGCTTGCCTAGTGCACTGTAAAGCCCTGGCTTCAAGCCCTAGTACCAAAATAAATAAATAAAAATTGAAGTACAAAATTAAAACCCCAGCAAAATGCAGATGTTACTTGCAATTATTTCTGAAGAGTAATTTAAAATACTACTTCTTACGAGTTGGAGATATAGCTCAGTGCAAAGGTCTTATGTTCAATCCCCAGTATTAATAATACTCTGCAAAAGAACAAAACACCAAAAAACAAACAAAAACCCCAAATCAACCTCTTTTTGGTGCTGTATTAAGTTGGATTGCATCTATTTATAAAACTGCCTGAACACATGAAACAAAATGTTTTACCAAATGGCTTAGAAATGTTGTACTAAGGTATGTGAGGAAAATTTCATTTCATCAGAAAAGTCTGCAAATTCCACTTATAACACAGCATTTTATATCAAAGCAAAATCATTTATGAGGCTAAAATCATGGAAGGTTTCCCTATGAACCTAGAGTCAATGCCTTTTATTGATTTTAATATATAAATACTGTGTTTAATTATACTTTCAAGCTTAAGTGCCCCTTTTATTAAAAATACATGAAATGTATGTATAACAAAATAAATATAGTGCTTTATTCTCAGAAATGTTTCTTTATGATATTAAACAAAATCATGTTAGATTTCACACTAAATCTAGTAAATAAATTTAGATCCTATTGTTCAGTGATAAAGATTCACTTTTAAACTGGATGCATTTTTTTAAAAAATGGCAAGTATTAGTTCGCCTACTTATTTTATAAAAGACCAGGCTTACTTTGTAACCAATAAAAATAACAAGCACCACTGTCCCTCTTATTATACTGACTTATGTGCATCAATACAGTAAACCTAGACTGGTGGAACAGGTAAGGGGGAAGTCTAAGCAGTCTGCAGGCAGGAGTTGGCCAACTCTAATTTTTACAAATTCAAATATTGAGCCAGGTATGGTGGTACAGGCCTATAATTTCAGCACTCTGAGAGGTTGAGGTAGGTGTATAATATTTGAGCATAGCTTGGGAAACTTTAGTTACTTACCACGATCCCATTTCAAAAAGAGGGAGGGGGTTAGGTATGTAGCTCAATAGGAAGGGCCCTGGGTTCAAACCTAGCACCACACACACATGTACAAAAAACAAATGCTACATTAAAATACTTCATTTGTAGCACCCTCTTAATTTTGCATCCATGAAAGTGCCTTAGCTTGTCTTGACACAAACCCTGCACTGTACTGAAAATTTCCATGTACTATGCATCCATGCCCACAGTTTTACAGATAACTTAGCAATATCAGAAGGTTAAGCAAGTTAGGTACTATGGCACCACACCAACTCACCTGGGATCACAATCAATAAGAGCCCAACCCCCATGGAACTTTTCATCATCAGGCAGTAGTAACTTCATGTAGCTTTGCAGAAGCTGACTAATCAGTTCCTGGTGGCTTCTCTGGCTTTCCTTATGCAAAGCTTCATGCTCTTTCTCCTTGGTAAATATGGAATAAAGATCTTCTGTCACTGGAATGCCTTGCATCAAATCTAGGACAGAAATATTCATATCTATAATCATCTTAGTTTATTTATATGCATACATACATATGTATTTATTTATTTTAGAGATAGATCTCACTATGGAATGCAGGCTGGCCTTGAACTTGCTCATGCAGCCCAGGCTAGTCTCAAACTCATGGCAATATTGCTTCAGCCTCCCAAGTGATAGGATTACACGTGTACACCACGTGTCCCCCTACTCATATATTTTTTAAAAACAAAGAGAATGTAAGACCTAGAGGTAAAAACTCTTAGAAGAAACTTAGGTATAAATTTTTATGACTCGGGACTGGGTGTTTATTTTATTTTACTTTTTGAGACAGGATCTCTCTCTCTCTTTGTAGCTCAGGACGACCTTGAATTGTGGCAATTCTCTTGCCTTGGCCTCCTGAGTGCTGGGATGACAAGTGTGGGTCATCACATTCAGCTACCACATTTTTTTAAAACTCAAGATTGAACCCAGGACCTTGCAGAGGCTGAGCAAGCACTCTACTCCTGAGCAACACCTCCAACCCTGGGAATTTTGGGACATTGATACCAAAATTGTAACCAGTAAGAGTAAAATAGAAAACAGAACATCAAAAAACTAAAAATTTCTGTACTCTAAAAGGCATCATCAAACCACAAAACTGTGAAACTATTTACAACTCACTTATTTGACAAGGGATCTTTATATCTAATATGTAAAGGCCTACCACAACTCAATAATAAAAAGATATACCAATCTTAAAATTGGCAAGATTTTAATAAACAAGTTAACTTCCTCTTAATGGGGCCTCTAGCTACAGCTTTTAAATCATTAAAACCCCAACAGTGAGACCCCTGGCAGCATCTTCATGATCTCCAAACCATTTGTCCTGCAAAGGAAAGCAATAAACCCAAACTGCTGATGGCCTCTCTCTCCACCTTGAAGAGAACCAGCTTTAGGGTCAAGACAAAGTTAACAGGATGGACAGCTGAACTGACAGGACGTAATCTGGGTCTTGAATGAAATAACTGAGTTGCTCGATCAACCAACGGAAGCAAGGTAACTTACTTTCTTTGAATAAATGCCTAAAATCCAAATCTCTAGTAACAGCATGCACACCCCTGTCTCTAGCAAATGAATGAAGTATTTTACAATGGATTTCTCCAATTCCTAAAGGTCTTTGTCTGAGGCCCTACTATTCAATGTATGCTAATCATCAGGTGAAAAAATAGGATTTAAGAAAGATTTTTAGGGACTGTTTTATCACATTTGGTGCCAAATCCAGAACACTCTCCATTTACTTTAACCCTATAACAATTTCATGAAAATTTAAGATACAACAATGCATGAATTCTATTGGGCAACAGAAATTCCTCTCCTAAAAAGTGATGAATTAGTTAGGACAATCTCAAAATCTAGTACTATAATATCTGTAAAACCATGTTTAGGAAAAGGGTGGTACATTTGTCCATAAAAGAACTTATGATAAGTGATTTACCAGAAGAGAAAATCAGCCAGGTTTGGTGACACAAACCTATAATCCCAGCAGTGGGGAAGTTGAAAAAGGAGGATTGTGAATTTGAAACCAGCCTAAGCACCTTAGAGACTTAGTAAGACTCAGTCCCAAAATAAAAATTAAAGGGCTTGGGATGTAGCTCAGTGTGAAGGCCCTGGGTTCAATACTCAATACTAGAATCATGCATAAGTGCCCCGACCCCAAACACAGAGAAAATAATCTGGTTAGTGCTTAAAGAATGAGAAACAATATAAAGTTTTTAGTCAGTGCTGTTTTTGGCACCTTATTCCATGCTCCAGGACTTTCAATTCTGCTGTTATCTGAGTAGCAGACAGATATGAAAATAGATGGGTTTCTTTTGTTGCTTTAGTCAAAAGTATTTTTCAAATTCGAATTTTTTTGATTTTGGTTTTTTGAGACAGGGTCTTGCTATGTATTTCGGGCTGACCTCAAATTTGTGACAATCTGCCTGTCTCAGCCTCTCGAATGCTAAAATTACAGGTAAAGATTATACCACATCTAGCTACATTAGATTCTACTTTTTAAACAACTTGGATTTTTGCAGGGGAGTACCGGCAATCAAACTCAGGACTTTGTGCTTGCCAGGCAGGCACTGTGCCACTGAGCTATACCCCAACCCAAAAACTTGAATTTGACTTGCTGGTAAGATGCTCAATAAAGAAACACAAATGCATTACAAGCATGAGTTATGTTAATGAAGTTAGTCTCTGACAGTGCTAGTCACAGAAGGAATAATAAATTTTAAAGAAAGAAAAATCCTTCTATTCCTTACCTATAACAGCTTGCCTATAAGCATCCTTAAACTGATTGAGGTAATACCTATTTGCTGAGTTCACGCCATCTTTCATAACTCCTGCTAATTTCCTTTCTCCTGTCCTTGTAAAGTCACCCTGTCAAAGAAAGTCATTTTGGAAATTTATTCAAAGATAAGTATATCCTCAAACTCAATTTTGGGCTTTCAGTTTAAGACTAGAATTCTACAGGTTTCTGTAACTTCCAAAATCTAAGTTTAATAATTTCCAAACACTGTAAAGGATCTACCAGTATTGATTCTGATCCAAACATGTTAACAAATAGATATATTATTTATAGCATCAAGTCTTCACAGTTAGGTGGTATTTTAGAGTGAAATCATTTTTGGTAACTTGTAGAATTTCTAGAATTTACAAGTCAAAATGAATGACATAACAAAAAAGATTTCTAGACCTCAAATTGTTACAATATTAGGAAACCAAATTTTTGCCAGTTTGGTGGCACACGCCTATAATCCCAGCAACTTGGAAGGCTGAGGCAAGAGGATCACAAGTTCAAGACCAGCCTGTAACAAAATTTTAAAAAGAGCTGTCCATTAGCTCAGTGGTAAAATGGCTGCCTAGCATGTACAAGGCTCTAGGTTCAATTCCTAGTACAAACAACAGGCAAATCCTACTAAATTTCTGACATGGAAAAATGTATTTCCCTAAAATATATTAAAATGACATTTCACCTGTAAGTGTATAATCAAGATTTCCAGTATCTCACTGCACATTAAAATCATATGTACAACAATCCAACAAAGTTTTTGTTTCTCTTGCTTTGTTTTTTCAGGGTATTTCTGTTTGTGTGTCTTGTGAAGGGTTTTGTGTTGTTTTGTTTTCTGAGACAGGATTTTGCTATGTATGTAGTTCAGGGTGGCCTTGAAATCACAATATAGTCCCAGCTGGTCTTGAACTCACAGTGATACCCTGGCATGCTGGGATTACAGGCATAGATCACCACACCTGGCTGTTTCTCTTGCTTTTATAACAAAGATGACAAAGCAAGTCTGTAGAGTAGATATAACTTAAACCTAAATCATGGAAGTATAGTCCAATGATGGAGAACCTTTTAGAGCTTTTAAATGATAACAAATAGCTAGTTATAGCATGCATTCATTATCACTGATATAGTCTCTAGCTTTCTTAATTATTAGAAAGTTTTTGATATTTATTACTTAATCAAAATACAGAATCTGATGCCTATTGAGCCCTTGTTTTAAAAAATATCATGGGTGAACCCTGAAGCAAAAATTAAACTAATTCAATTAATTTCTATTGTCCACAGAAGGCAGTGATATTTTACATATAACAAGAAAAATAACAGAACATTTCTCCAGCATTTACCATGTATCAGGGATTGTCCTAAGCCTTTATACTCATTTACTCATTTAATTCCATGAGAATTTCTTGCAGTAGCATAGTATTATTCTCATTAGACAAATGAGACAAAGTACTTAAGTGATTCGCCCAGGGTAACAATTAGTAACAGGCAAACATAGGATCTGAACTCAGAGAACACAAAGCATTACACAAGGACCAAGTTGACACATTTTGTTGTTCACAGTTTTAAAATCCATTAGCATAAAATTGCAGATTTCTAGACACCTTGGGTAAGATTTCCTTGAATGAGGAAGATCTGGCAACACAGAACCTCCTTATGGAAACAGTTGATTGGCCCCCTCCAGATAAATACACTCTCCTCCTTGGGTCTGCACAGCCCACCTATCCATATCTAATGGTGGCCTGCTTGAATCACACTCCCTGGCTCCTGTTTTGTCTTGTTTTGTCTTTTGAACCCAGGGCCTCATGCATGTGATGCAAGAACTACACCATTAAGCTACATCTTGCAAGAATTTAAATGAGTGATCCTGACTTAAATATTCTAAAAATAAGTCAACTACGCAGACCTATCACTTGCAACTTGTCTGTCAAAAACAAAGTTGGTTTTAAGTCACAGTATAACCCACATCCATGGAAAGATCTGTAAATACTTGCTGCATGTATTTACCTTCAGAGCGGCTGTACCAGCATATTGTCTACTAATGGAGTCACCATTGTTTGCCCACATTATCTGATAGATCCGATTACATTTCACAGGCAGTGGCTGCTCTGGGGGCATCACACCTAATTTTTTCAGCTAAAATGAACACATTGGTAGATTAAACCACAAAACCATAGGATAAAATATACTTCAAAAAAAGGGAAACACTAGTGTACACTTAAAAGAAATAATGTTTTTGCATTTTTTAAAAGAAGCATTATTAAAAGATAGTTTTATGGATTAGCATAGCTGAGTAAAAATAAGGAAATATTTTTAGTATAATTTGTAATATATAGACTCATATTGTTACATTTTGTCTGTTTTAAATTTGCCTATGAAGTAAAACTAAATTATTAAAAAAGCATACTGAAACATAAGAGTACTAATAGTAGATTAGTAAATACCCAATAAATGCTAACTGTATACCAGGACTAGGGCTTCTATGAGCTTTTTCACATGAATTATCTCCTTTACTTGTCATAATAATCCTGGCAAACAATACTCTTATTACCCCCATTATAGAAATAAAGAGACTAAAGAAGTTAAACCCTGGGCAGAGCGAAGACCTCCCATGTGGTAGAGACCAGGACTTAAATTTAAAAGCCTGGCTGCTCAAACATTAGAGGAATAGACACAGGTCCTCAAAGAATAGTCATAAGATATCACAAAAAATAAAAACTCAGAAACCATGCTAGGTATTTCTACTTCAGGAATTTAAAACAGGTTATCTTTTACTCAGAGGTGAGGGGGCTGAAAGATTTTAAATGGGGCACCAAGGTAAAAGGGATGACAAAAGACAATGCAGAAAGCAGCTGCCAGTCACAGGCCTGGGCACAAAAGACAGCTAGTTCTGTGTTGTCAAGGGAACCAGTAAGATCCCAAGAACCACCCACTGGCAAGAATAGCACCAGTGAAGAGATTCAACTCTTTCCGTCACCTGCCTCCTAGTTTTCTATAGGCTGCTCACACCCATACTGACAGAGCCAACTGGTCAAGCAGAAATAAGTATGTAGATTCCCAAACCAAATTACAGAAGGGTGGGTTTGGAACTGAAAAAAGAAAGGTAACTGACTACATTATGCCACCCAATAGATTTTAAAATGTTAGTTCCTGGCTTTCTGAAATGAGAATTTAAGAAAGAATTTAGAAAAGAAATTAGAAATTAGAAAAAGAATTTAGAAAACTTACTTCTAGTGAACTTTGTGTCTCTCAGGTTTTAATGCAGTAAAGTTTGTATGCTATAAATGTTTACCAATATTTAATATTTAGAAAAAGATTTTCACTTTTATTTACATGAGAACAAACATTTACAAGTGAGTATTTAGAATCAAATAGACTCCAAATTACCTGCTGTTCCATGACCACTCGTGCAATGGCAGCTTGGACTACATTTGTACGATCCAGGCAGTCCATGCAATTAACTCGAAAAATTCCTTCCTGTTTACATATCACCCCAGCTTGATCAACCCTTTTCAAAAACAGTATGGGATTTTTAGAATTTGAAATACTTTAATATATTTTTTAAAATTATTTTTATAACAATAAAAGCATTAGGGGCTGGGGATTTAGCTCAGCGGCATAAGCACCTGCCTGTAAGCAGGTGGTCAGGAGTTTGATCCCTGGTACCAATTAAAAAAAAAAAACACAATAAAAGCATTAGCTTATAATTTGCTTGCAATACTATTATGTGCTAGGCATCAATTAATTATTCAGACATTACAGCTAATTTACACAATAACTTAGTAACAAAGATACTGCCCTAATTTAAAAAAAATAAAATAAAATGGAGATACAAAAACAGTGATCTATCTCAAGTCATGCAATTATAAAGCACAGCTGACAGCCCCATGTTCTCCCTTTCTACATAATACTAAACCAGAAGGTTCTTAAATACCACTTTGCTCCCTCCTTTCTTACTCAGAGCAGAAATGAATTTAAACTATCTGAAACAGAGTAATCTACTTTACCACCTGTGAGGAGTCATGCAGCATGGCTTGTGCCTCTAATTTTTCTGACCACCCATGTATTCTTAAAACCTAATCGAACGTCGTCTCTTGTCCTGACACCAATTTTCTTTTCTTTCTATATCTACCTCCTGTAGTCTGAGAATCATTTTCCTTCTCTGTTAATTTTGAAATGCCTGAAAACTGAGTAACTCTAACCTTTCTTTCTCATGTTAAGGATAATGAGAAAGAAGGGAAAGAGAAAACACAGACCACAGATCATGAGAAAAAATAAACTCAAATCCTTAGAAGTTACGGAGCATTTCACTTCATTGTGTCCACCCACCTGACACCTGCTCTCTGTTCAAAGCTGACACTGACTAATGACCAACAATACTGTCTTGAAAAGGAAAAGAGAAATTAGGAAATAAAGCAACAATAAATGCTTCTTTAGTATGCTACTATTATTCAAATGCTTAGTTGTAAGAGACAAATACAGATGATTTCAAAGACCAAGAGTGTCAGAATTCCTTTTCATAAAATACCTACCAACACCACTTCATGTCAAGAATAATGTCATAGATGGCATCAGTTAGGGTTTGAACATTCTCAAACTTTCTTCCTCGGCTAAAATCCATGCCAAAAGAAAGAAAAATGTGTTTAATATTGTAATAGAATTTCTTAAAAGCTTATTTAAGATATGAGAGGCCCAGGATATGCCTCAGTGGAGTACTTGCTAGCATGCACAAATCCCTAATACAAGCCAAACAAAACGAGGCAAAATGTACTATAGATATGATACTGCAAGTATCTTGAAAACATTAAAAAGAACTGTTACTATTAACATTATCAGAAGCTTCATTCCTACCAAATCTCCAACACCTAACTAAATTAACCTATGATAGTCAGGACTTTGGCAAAAGAAACTTGCTTTCAAAACACACGTAAGTCAACATTAGTCACTGAATGTTATTTTTCTAGACCAAACCCTAGAATTTAATCAATAAGGACAGAAGAGAACAAAGAGGAGTCAGCAGAATGATTCCTAAGTAAAGGAATTCTATTACTTCTGCTAAGACTCAGATCCAAGGAGAAAAAAAATACTCTGAAAGTTCTTCAACTGGTGATCAAAACAAAAATGGAACTCTTAAGTATCCAAGTCATTTTGGAACACAGACTATAAATATTTTTAGAACAATTATCTCAAGATTTTAGCCAAAAGAAAGCCCATATGAAAATTAAAACTAAGTAAACAAACAATACTCTTTCCTTTTCTAAAAGAGGAGAAGAGTTTTACTTTTCCCAGCAAACAGACAAAAAACTAAGTTCCATGTGGCAGGGCTAGGGATACAGCTCACTGGCACAGCACCTGCCTGGCATGCACAAGGTCCTGAGTTTGATTCCTGGTACAAAGAAATTTCCAAAATGTAAGTTCCCTGTGGCAAAAATCTACCACAAACACTGTGTTGTAATGTGGACCAAAAAGGCCAGCAATGGGCTTCCGTGAAGTAAATACATCTTAACAGACTAATCCCCTGGTGAATTCCTAGCCATCAGGAGGTAGGGCCTGGGTGAAGGCAGCACTTCATGAGGGCACTGCCTTAAGGGCTGCATCTTGTACCCAGTCCCTTCCTTCTGGCTCTCTGCTGCCTTGTTGCTTCCTAGCTGCTACAAAGTGAGCAGCCTTGCCCTAAGATGCCCTTCTACGATGGTGTTCTGCCTCATCTCATTTAGAAAGCAGTACAAAGAGCCAACCAAACTTAACCCTATGAAACACAGAGCTAAAACAAATCTTTCTTTCTTTCAAGCTGTTTTATCAGCTATTGTGTCCCAGTAACAAAAGGTTGACTAACACAAAATACAGCTGACCAGAAATCATTTTAGAGAGCCACCTTACCAGTGTTCATGGAAGTCAAAGGAAACATAAGTGAGGTGAGAGTTATTAAAAAGCAGCACTTGTTTCAGGTAAGCATCACCAATAATTTTCTCTCTTCCTGTCTGGTTTACCAAGTTAATAATAATCTGGGAAAGTGAAGAAAAAGGAAAAAATTAAGATTAATTAGATGTAAGAATTATAATGTGACTTTTAATGATTTGGAATTTTGTTTTAGAAATATTTTATAGCCATGCATTGAAATGAATGCATTTAAGCATCAACTTTTTCTATAACATTAAAATTTCACTTTTACGCAAATTTACTCATAAGAATTATTTACATTAATGGCATTCCTAGCTTTTCTACACATTAGCAATAATCAATTAGAATATACAATGAAAATAAATGGTTCTTTATAGTAGCAAATATTTTAAAGAGAAATGCATAAAATCTACATTCTAAACATTGCAAAATGGCCGAATTAAAGGAAAAAACAGCTGAAATACACAAGAGAAACTTAAGTAGAGATACATACCATGTTGCTAAATGGCAAGATTCAATATTGTAAAGATGTCAAGTCTCCCCAAATTAACCTATATATTCAACAATCCCAATAAAAATTCTACCAGGATCTTTATGAACTTAACAAGTTAATTCTAAAGTTCATCTGGAAGAGTAAATATGTGGAAAAAATTTGGAAACTAATAATAAGAGGGAAACTTATCCCACTGGAGAGCAACACATATTCTATACAGCAATTAATAATGTGGAAGTGGTGTAGAAATAGGGACCTGACTCAGTAAACAGGATTTATGCCACAGACAGACCTATGTCCACTGAGAATTCTCAGGCATGTTAAATAGCCCACTGTGGGCAAATGTGGACTATTCCTTCATTGGTACAGTACTGGAATAACTGTCCATCTATATAAGGCGTTTACAATTGATCACTACATTTCACTATACACAAAATAAGTTCTACATACTTCTAAATATTTTTTCTTCAAATTATAAAAATTTGGAAGAAAATTTAGAGTAATATTGCCATAATTGAAGGCTGGGACATGACTTTCTAAACCTAACATAAAAACCAGAAGGTATAAAGGAAAAGACTAATAGATGTAATAACATAAAAACTTTTGCATACCAGTGATAGTATAACAAAATGTGAAAGGACCATCCAAGAAAATATACAACATAAAAACCAATACTATGTAGAGTACTATAAGGCCAGTAAAGAAAAAAAGGATAAATTCACAAGAAAATATATAAACAGCCAATAAACATAGGCTAGCTTTGTTACTAAAGAAACAAATTTTAAAGTAGAAAGCTAGTTTTCACCTATGTACAGGTAAATATGAATATAAATACAGATCACAGTGGTGAATGTGGGGAAACAGGCACTGACTCCCAAGGTTTCTGGAGTTGTGAATTGGTATGGTTTTTGTTGGGAGCAAGAGTGGTACTTTATCACTTTAAATATATACACTGTTTGATCCAGTGGTTTCATTTCCATAAATTTGTTCTAAAAACATGCACACATAATATCGCAAAATATAAAAGCTGTTTCTGGAGACTTTTTTATAGATCCTTGTTATGTGGTCCAGGTTGGCCCTCAACTCATTACGTAGACCACTGTCCTCCAACTCATGATCCTCCTGCCTCAGCCTCCCAAATGCTGGGGTTATAAGTATGTGCCACCACAAGCAGTTTAGAAAGTTTTTTATAACAGCAAAAATAGCTATTATAAAGTCCACCAATGAAGAAGTAGTTAATAGTCACGAGATCAAGAAAAAGCAGGTGCAGTAGTATTTATGGTACAGTTATATTTTGATTAAAGTTCTGAATTGTGAATATGCATGAGTCAGGGGTTTTACAGATGTCAAATTACTGATTAACATCTCAAAACATATCTGAAAGTATAGTAGCATGATTCCAAAAAGACGAATTTTCAGTACTATGTACTACTTCAATACTATGAAGGACACTAACATTGTCGACCTTTTTATTCAGTCATCCTTTTCATCTTTTTTATTCTACCAGCATATTGGTTGTCTCTGGTTATTTCATTCAGCCTTAAGATGGATGCAGCACTTTCATATTAAATACAGACACAACAACCACAGGGGGACTGTGGTTCCTGAATCTCTTTTTATTGGAGCAGGAAACCTTTCCCCAGCAGCCTCCCAGGGGACTTCTTCCACATCATACCTCATTGGCTAAATCACTAATGAACACATAAACTAAACCTATGAGTAGCAAGAGCAATGGTGCCACCATGTCTGAGTCAGACTGATCGTCTGGAAAGCAATTATCCAGGAGAGGAGGTAGATAAATGAACACTGTTGGAATATTGTTAGAAATCAACAAGTGCCTGCCCAGTAAACATCTATAAAATTGATGTGAAAGCCAACAGGGAGTAGGGAGGAGTGTGAGAAGAAGTTATTTCCCCTGCTTACACACCTCAGCATAGCTTCATTTTTATCATTGTGTTTTACATTTAAAATGTTACATCAAAAGTTCTTTGTATAGCTATTTATAATTACATATATTAATACATGAATTTATTCACACTGTAGGAAATTAAAAAGTAGATAAGGTCAAATCCTTCCTGACCACAACCCAGTCCCTCAGCCTTCTCTGAGGTGTTATCACTTAGGTGTGTGCCATATATGTGTGGACAGAATAAATGGGCGAGAACTACGTATGTGTTAACGACAGGTTTGGTTTCATGGAATTTTCTTAAATGATAACATGCCATATGTTATACAGATTTTTCTATTTTTCTTTCACAATGTACTTTCCAACTACCTCAATCTTTTTAAGCATTTTATTAAGTACTTTAGATGTATTTTACTTTACCTGTTGTCCTCCAGATGATCAATTTGGTTGTTTTTATGCTGCAATGAATGTTTTCAAAGCGTGTCAATTGAACACACTTCTCTTGGGTAGATTTAATTTTTTCTCTATTCAAATTCCAGTTGTTGGACTTCCCTGCCAGAACTTGGCAGTCCCCACCTTTTTTTTTTTAGCCATTCTGGTGAATCATGGTTTTAATATGAATTGGAGCACTTTTCACATATTTTGACTTTCTGTCTGGTATCTTTTGGCATGAAGAGTCTCCATAATTCTTTTCCCAGTTTTCTTTGAAATGGTACATCTTTTATAGATTTATAAGAGCTTCTAAATATACTACAGATATGAAACCTTTAGCATATATATGCATTGAAAAATCTTAAATAACCACTTTGTGAATTTCCTTTTCATTCTCTTAATAATGCCTTTCAACAGTTTTTATGCCAACAGGTTAATTTATCAACTTCTTTCCTTAAAGTCTTATTTAATTTTAACAATTGTAATAAATGTCACTTGTAATATTTATGTTAGTAAAGTCTTAATAAATAATATTTTAATAAAAATAAATTTAACATCAAACTTACAAATTTTTCACTATAGAGAGTGTTTTTTAAAAAATAAGTATTTCTTGGGTGGGCATTACTCCTTATTAAACAACTAATAAGATATATAATACACAATCACACACTGAAAATATAAGCAGACAATGTTACTCTTTTTATAAATCCTAAATATGATCCAAGGTCAAACAAGTTCTATATTGCCCTCTAAAAGCTTTATTGCTTAACTTTTCATATTTACATCCATAATCTATTTCAAACTAATTCTGTCTACAATATATTTCAGAAAGTAAAATTACTGTGTGAAAACAATGTTTAACTGATATATTCAAAATTGCTACACCAACTTAATGCTTCTAACATATAAGAATTCTTGTTATTGTTTATCAAGTTCCCTAATTCTTTTCAATATGAGGGTTTCCTTCCTATTTCCTGCTGAGACTTTAAGATCACATGAAATTTTTATATTAAATTGAAAAGAACTGGAATCTAGTGAATATTTAAATTTCACTTCCTGAAACATGTTATTTTCTCTACATTTTAGTCAGGCTTTCTTTTATGTTCTTCTATAACTTTTTTCTTCTCATATATATGGTATCTTTTTGCATGTTTATCAGACTTTAGGTCATTTCTATTTATTATTGCTGTAAGAGAAATGTACTCATGGCATAACATTCAGACTGATCATTACTAATGGATAAAGAACATTACTATTATATGTTAATTTCACATAAAAATTAATGTACTGAACTTGTATTTGTCTTAGTAGCTTTTAATTGATTTTGATTTATATGACTGTGTTTCCAAATGAAAAGATATGAATATAAAAGGCAGCCAGAGAAAAAGATACATATAGATAGTCAAAGATACACATCAAATTGCTAACTCCAAAAGGCAGTAGTGTTTCTTATGGATGACTTTCATTTATTAGTACATGGTAAATTGTAATAACCAGCAGATATCTAATCTCTTATCTAAAGGTAGTCTAAAGTAGCTCATTCAATGATTATTCTTAAAGAATATTAAGAATATTCCTAACTTCCACATTTTTAACACCATGACAAATACTCCATTACATAGAATCATGAATAGTACATTATTTCTGTGAAGTTTAAAGAAATACACAGTCATTTGTACATATGAAGGAACATTTTACATAAGCGCACCTGTTTTTTGTAAATTTTCAGTTGTTCTTCGAAATGGGCACAGAAATAGGCAACAGTTTCCTTTTCACCTACAAAGAAGTGATACAAAATCTATTTTTCCTTCCCATGTTTAAGACATAAATTCGTGTCTGTTCTATCTTTATTCCTATTTTTAAATAATTTTACAATCTAAATATAAATTGTCTAACCACCATTTTAAAATAAAATGCTACACCAAATATCTGTAATTTTTTTCCACTGAGACTAAACTAAAACATATATGAAAACATTAACTGTGATATTATGATATTTAGTATTTATATATCCAGTCTACTCAGAAAATTTTCATATGACTTATAACAAGAGAATAAAAATCTCTGCCAAACACTGATATTTAAAAATGTTTTACTCAATTCTCAAAGAATATAAATTAAGTTTTCAGGAAAAAAGTATATACTACAATAATTTCTTCTGTAATCTAATTAGATCAAAATGATTTAGTTATCCTAGAGCTAAAGTTTATTAGCACTGGAAGAAAAGAACTTCATTATTTCAAAAAAAACTTCTGAGGGAGAGACATTTGAGTAAAGTTACCTCATTAATTTTTGATAAATTCTATCTTGTTAGTAGACTTTCTACTTCTATAAATATTGGCCATATCTGTCCTTTCCTAAAGTTAAAACATTCAAAAAGTACTCTCCAAAGCAACAGCAATTAAAAATTATGAAATACGCTGTTTCACTCAATGTTGGAGGAGAAACCTTTTTTTATCATTGTAGCAGAGATTGAATCCAGGAGCTTCCATATACTAGGCAAGTGCTCTACCACTGAACTACATCCGCAGCCCATGAAACTTTTAAATGTTCCATAAATAACTTGCTCTACTCCTATAATTATTATACACCTTTCTGTTACAATTCACAGTAAGATTTATTGGGGGTTTTGTTGTTACTGTTGTTTTACAGTGATAGGGATCAAACCCAGGTCAAGTCCTCTACTATTAGAAATCCCACTTCCAGGCCTAAGTATTACTGTTCTGGACGAAGAATCTGGAAAGCAAACCCAAATCTATCAATTATCTAATTTTAAAAATCATATTCTCTCCAAAATTATCAATTTATAAACCACATGGCTGACATATTGACATGCTTACTTTTGTCCAGTCGAGGTCTTGGGTTATATCGATACCCAACTTGGCTCCAAAAGACAGGCACAGAGCCTCGTGTTTGAATAAAGGACAGTGTATGATTATGAACATGAATTAACTGCTCAGTCTCTACATAATTTGCAACATTTCCATTTTTATCCACTCCTCTTCGTTTATAGCGCATTCCTGTAAAAAATTAAAACAGTAACATCTTGAAAATTTATCAGACTAGATTATGATTCCTGATCATATATGTCCTACAGGAATGTCCTAGAGACCCTATGTGCAACAGGCAGGAAGAATAGTATCAACTTACCCAAAATCCACCATATGCATCATTGTTTTTAAAATGCTAAATCTAAAACAGTTCCTCTGAAGTAAAAGAGAAGGGTACTAGTATTTAGGAGCACATCCCAAGTGACTTTCTTCTCTCCCGTCTGGCTCATTTTGGTAAGTTTTCCCTATTCCCATCTTCAAGAATTAGTCCCTAATTATATCACATTATTTAAAGTCACAGTATTTGAAGCCAACTGTGCTTCCAAGATTGTCATAGGCATATAGCTTTTCCTTTTTTTTTTTTTTTTTGGTAGTTCAGCCTCCTGAGCACTGGGACAACACGTATGCACTATCACACTCTGCTTCCATTCTTATCTGGATCTGATTTACATGCTATTATAGTCCTCTACTTACCTGCTCTGTGCCTACTCCGGCGTGAAATAAGAGCCACTAGAAATCGTGGGTGAATGTCATCTACGCAGGTGGACTCCTGGGGGGGGGTCTCTGGGCTGCTTTTCTCATCATCAGATGATTCATTATAATTTACCACAAGCTCTTCAATCTGCACAAAACCTTGGATAAGGGGAATAATCCAAAAATCCACATCTGGTGTCTGAAAACAAAATGAACATTGTGTTGTTTATATTCTGTAGAGCACTGCCACTTCCTGAAACCCAAACAACAGTTGGCACATATGCATCAGAGCATTAGAGGCAGAAACCTTATACTCCTCAACCATATTTTCTCCTTACTGAGTAGTAAAGGAGGAAGGGAAGGAAAAAAAGCTTTTCCTTTTCTTTATGATGATCATTCAAAAAGCTGATTGAGAAGGAATATAGCATAGGAGCTACATTGCCTAGGTACAAATCCAACTTCCACCACTCACTCACAAGAAGAAAATCACCCTCACTGTGCCACCACATCCTCTGTGAAACAAAAATAACTAACATCTCATAATGCTGCTGTGAAAATTAAATTACTAATACATGTAAAATGTTCAGCCTGGCAAATAGTATTTATGGGGGAAGGGCTTAAAAGTTAATTTCTTCCTTTCATTCTTTTTTCAGTATTTTATTGTGAGTTGTCAGTTTTAACTGGTAATGTAAAAATGCTTGGACAAAAACTGTCTAACATATTGGAACTCCTTACTGTATGTATATAGACCAAATATTAAGTATAAACATTAATTTCTCCTCTGTCACTGGGCTTTGGGGGTCATAATCTGATGAGCATCAAAAATACAGGTAAGAACAAACTCATGTTTTCAACAGAAGCATGACAGGTATCTAGTTGAAGATGCTAGTAGGTAAAGTAAAAGTCATTTATATATGAACTAGCACTAACAGGGAGAAACTGAAAGAAGAAAAACTTCTGAAATGCTAAAAAAAAAGTAATATGTGATCCTATTCAGCTATCTGCATTTTGTTTAGTATTCAAAATGGTAAGTGGTACATAGCAGGACTTCATATAAGAATTTGTTGATCTAATAAAGAAATTGCCTTTTGTCAGTAATAATTCTCTAACATGTAACCGTAAAGGAAGTACATTATTAAAAAAAAAAAAAAAAAAAAAGGAAGCACATTATCGAACAAGAAACCTCACGATAGTCTGTCTTCTGGGTCAAACACTGGCAGTAAGAAAATGACGTTAAGGGGCTGGGGATTTAGCTCAGCGGCATAAGCGCCTGCCTTGCAAGCAGGCCGTCGTGAGTTCGATCCCTGGTACCGATAAAAACGAAAAAGACAAAAAAAAAAAAAAAAAAAAAAATGACGTTAGAGCTCTGTCTGGTCCAAGTCCCAGATGAGAAACAGGAAAGGGAAGGTAAAGAAGTCTTATCACTACAGCGGAACTGGGCTTCAAGATTCCCAGTACATATAAACAAAATAACTCTTCACAGGAACTCAATGGAATAGCTGCAAAGCCTTAAGCTGCTAGTCTCCATGGTACCTGCTAGAAAGTTAAGGTGGTGGCTAGGCAGTGGAACCATAAACTGCCTTAAAATAACATTTCGATTTTTTTTCTAGCTAAATGATTCCTTTCCATAAGGGAAATCATTATGGTGGGACTTTAAATTTTATCTTCAGATAATTAAAAAAAATCTGCTTAACAACTATAAGTAACTTAGAATATTTTAGAAACAACTACTCACACCAATCTCAGTAAGATCTTGTATCATATATTTATTCCAAAAAAATCGATCATCAACCTAGAAAAAGCAGAGGAAAAAAAGTTTAAAAATACATTATTTCAGTTTTCCCATAAAAGACAAAATAGGCCGTCAATTGTTTCAGAGGCAAGCCTTGCTCTGGGCTGGGAGTGGTACCTTCTGCCAGAGGGGCCGGCCATCCCTCTCCCCAATGCTCTGTCTTTGCACCGAATTGGTCAGGTCATAGGTCAAGCTATAGTAAAAGGATTCTGAGTCCATAAACATCTTCAGCAATTCCTCAAGTAATCTTCTCTCCAATTTCTCCTTTTCTTTGCTTTCCTTTACCTATAAGAAATCAGCCTACTAGTACTGCAGGAATTAAATGTAAAATATATGGACAATACATGCCTTCCAGTGAGACTAATCCCAAGAACAAGATGAGACAGTATTCTGATATAATAAATGGCTTCAAAATAACTTCATTGGTAGAAAATTACTATTCAATTTAAGATTTATCAAAGATCAATCAAATTTCATATCACTTAGAGTCTTACTTTTTTTTTATTTGGAGCAGACACATTGGACTTAATATTCGTAAATGTCTTCAGTAGAAACTTGGAATCATCAGGAGATGGTATTATCTTCTCTGGTTTGTTAATCCCAAAATGATGCTTCTTACAGAGCTAAATTATTTGGGAAAAAAAGATGATTCTTTATTTACTATGTGATGTTTAAATGTTCATGTATGAATGTAGAAGTAAAGGCTATTGGCTTAAATATTTACATTAAAAGTATACTCAAGAGATAGCACAGGCTGGCCACATACTTACAATGATCCTCCTGCCTCAGCCTTCTAAGTGCTGCGATTACAAATGTGTGCCACCGTGCCTGGCTAATAAATTTTTATCTAATATAACTGAAGAATAAAATATTGTAAACTACATATTTCCTGTATCTCAGGGTCATTACAAGTATCCGTTCTAAATATTCAGTCATGCTCATTGTTTTGGTCAAGATATCTTCAGTATGTTCTACTAGCAATCTTAAAATATGGACATTTCAACTACTCCCTCTCATATATACTATTGAAGTCAGCATCGTAACATAGGATTCAGGCCCAGAAATTGGTGGAGTATAGAGTAGTAATCAGGGGCCCCAAGAAGGTGAAGAAAAGGATGAGAATATGGGTGAGAGAAACAAGGGTACAGAGAGCAGGCGACTTGGTTGCAGTCAAGTGTTTTATATGCAATTTTATATGGCTTAACATGCAATGCAAATATTGTGAAAGGTATACAAGAATTCTACTAATGATTTTCAGACCAATTTCCATTTTTTAAGCATACTAGTTTCACTGGTACACTTTTAGTGGAAGACTCCTATAAGGAACTAAATTTTTTTTCTTCTAAGTCAAGAACTAACTCATTAAATGCTTATTATTGTTGTGTCTCATAAAATAATGATCAACAGATGAATACAATAGAATATTTAGATTGTATGCATTTTCAAAATTATGACTATCAAACACTACTCGCATATATTTCACAACATAAATGCAATTTATAAACTGCTCCAGCCCTATCACTAAAAACAAGGGAACTAGCAGGGTTGTAATCATGTGTGCAATACCAGAAAATGTGAAGACAGCAAGTTTGAGCCCAGCCTGTGCCCTCTTTCTGCATATCACTCCCATCAGCTAACAAGTACACTGATATTTTTCTCCCTTTAACACTTCCATACTGCCACCCTATTAGTTTATGCTCCTCACTGCCTCCAACTATACTTCCCACTCTCTCCCACCAACCCACTCCAGTGTGGCTTTGTCCCCTTACCACTCTTCTAAGCTACTGTTTCAGCAACATCAACAACTTCCACTCTGCTGAAAATCACAAGCCAAAATAAATCTCTTCCTTTAATTACTGATGCTGGGAGCGGGGAGACAGAGGAGGGGAAGAGGAAATTCAAAACATCAGGATGTGTCATGTACATGTACCAACTCCCTATGACAGAAGTAATCATTATGTACTATAAACCTATACTAACAAAAACTTTTTAAAGTTGTGACTCAAAAGACTAAGGGATATTAGCTGCCTTCCTGATGACATAATTAAATAAACTTTAGAGTTTTAACATTTGAAAATAAATAAATAAAATTGTAGATGTGGGTATTTTGTCCCAGCCACAGAATAGTAGTATCATGATCACATGTATTGTCTGCATTCCACAAACACACGTTCTTGTAGTACTGGGGATTATACCCAGAGCCTTTGTGTTGAGCTATATCCCCAGCTCTTTTTAAACTATTTTGAGGCAAGGTCTCATTAACTTTCTAAATAGGCCAGGCTAGGCCTGAACTTGAAATAGTGTCTCAGCCTTCTAGAGCTGGGATCACAGGCATGCACCACTGTGCCCAGCTCTGCTTCTCACTTCTATAATGTAAGCTCTATCATAGAGGGATCTTTGTTCTGTTGACTCAAATTTCCAGTGGAACTGGGGGGGGGGGGCGGGTCTCAATAAGTATTTGGTAACTGAGTGAGTGGAATTTAATAGTACAAACACAGTGGAACCCCTAGATTCACATATGAGGTACACAGGTAGTTCTGTGAAGATGACTGCCCCTTTTTTTTCTTGTAGTGTCACTGGGGCAGCAGGAATATAGTTCAACAAGACATTCTCCCTCTACTCCTCTGTGCTGCTTTGCTTTTGAAACTTAGCAACTGTTGATTACAAACTTACATAGGATATAAGCAATTATCAAGTCATGTCAGCAATATTTTCTTTTAAAAATCTGAAAACCTGTCCTAAACCTAGCTGTTGGTAAGTGCAGTTTTAATATTTAAAACAAAATATTGGGATTTGTCAGACGTAGTCATTCCTTAAGGGGATTCAGGCCAAAAAAGTTTTCTCCTAAGAATACATCAGACTATCCTAAACATCTACTTATTCTAAAAAGTAACCTTGTTACATGTGTGTAGTTTGCACCCACACCATCTTCACTGTCAGGATGGAAGTCTTTTTTTGTCACCAAGGCAAACTTGATTGTACCTCTTCTGAAAAGAAGTCTTCCTGTCTCTTGTCCCAACGTCCCTTTCTAAAACCCCCTTTCCTAATACCACCAATATGTTCACATGTGCAAGAGTATTTTAGAAATCCATTCTGCAGCCCTGGAATGCACTGTGTGAGTCAGCAGAGCATATAAAAATAGTGTCACCTCACTGGAACTGTGAGGACTCACTCTGACTGAGGTGGTCCTAAGGTGTGAAAACTCCCAAGAAACTGCATAGACAGAGTGAGACAACGAGGTCTCCAACTCTAAGAAATGATGAACAAGGGGCTGGGGATTTAGCTCAGTGGCATAAGCACCTGCCTTGCAAGCAGGCGGTCCTGAGTTCGATCCCCGGTACCAATAAAAATGAAAAAGACAAAAAAAAAAAGAAAAGAAAAAAAAGAAATGATGAACATACCCTGTCTCTCAGAGTGAGGCATTAAAGATGACTCCATGCTGTGTCTCCCTCGGTCCCCCAACACTGAACTCTGGGTTCTTCCAGATCTGGCTACTCCTTCTTGGTCTCCTTTGCTGGTATCTCTTTCTGTTGTTATGTTCCATCTCAGCCTTATTCTCATTCTCCATGCCCTATCCACGAAGTGTCACTCATTCTCCTTATTTTAACTATTACTGAGTTTAGCTTCACTCTTTTTCTTTTTTAGAACTCTGAACAAGTTTTATATATATATATACATTTTTTTTTTTGTCTTTTTCCTTTTTATCGGTACCAGAGATCGAACTCACGACTGCCTGCTTGCAAGGCAGGCGCTTATGCCACTGAGCTAAATCCCCAGCCCCAAGTTTTATAATTTATATAACTAAATTATCATAAGAGAGACTTGCTGATTGTTTGCCAAGTTGATCTTTCCTTCCTCATAGTTCCACGGCCAATTTCCCTACATTGTCTCTTTCTTTTTTTTTTTTTTTTTTAATTTAGAGAAAAAAGCAATACAGAAAAAAGGGTACAGAATTTAAAAAAAATAATAACACTAAGAAATCGCTAGTTGATAAATTACATATTGTCATTTTAGAAATAGTTATTCAAGTTACAAAATCAAAGCATAAAAAGTGAACAATCAAACAATGACAGTGCAAACCATTCTTTTCAATGATCCAACAAAAACAGTAGTATGGTTATCTATCTTACACTCCTAAACATACACAGTCATATTCTTTGGAGCACTTTCCTTCTCTTCTATTTTTACAGTATCTATTATACATTTTGTTTACCTTAAGCTCAAGACCCACATGTGACACCCCACCAAAACACACTGCTCTCTCAATCTTAGCATCTCTGAATCTGATCAACAGCGGTTTCCCAAAGCTTGCTCCTTCTTTCACACGTCTATTCCAGGTAATGACTCCAGGTAATGACCACTCACAGATCACTTAAGCAAGGAACCTGTGAGTCACAATCCATCAATTTCCTTCTCCTTTCTAAGGTCTCTCCTGACAACCCCACCACTGCACACTCACTGCTACTGTGTTGATTCAGACTGGTATCTTTCGCCCAGGCCAGCGTTTTTCAACGGAAGTAGTGAGCAGGGGATTCTTTACCCAGGATTATCCCACTCAGTACAGAAGACTCTTACTGCTTCTGTTCACAAAGTGAAGAATTCCACCTGAGCACTTGTCTTCATGTACTAAAGGTGGCTACAGGCTCCCGCCTCCCATGAAGCCCTTTTAGTCCTCTTTACCACAGAAGGTCCAATTCTCCCCACCGCTGTTTGCTGTATATCCAGACACAGACAACTTAACGCTTCAGTTCAATCCAGTGTGAAAATATTCTAAAGCCAGGCAATATCATCTATATTCTGTTAACAACTCAAATGTTGGGCTTGAGACAGAATTCCTATAGGCACATCATTCCTTATTCACAACTCTAAAACCCAAAAAACTCTTAAAACTGAAAGTTTATTGTTTAGAAGTTCTTTAAAACTCATTCGTTTAAAACTCATTTAATGACAAAAGATTCCTTGCATGAATAAGAGAATGCTAATCGCATCATTTATCCCATTTAGTATGAATATGCATATGATTCTTTAAGAAATGTTCATGTAGCCTGCTGTAGTGATGCATGCCTATAATCTCAGAACTTTGGGAAGGTGAAGCAGGAGGATCCCAAGTTCAAGTCCCATCTGGGTAACTTAGTGAGATCCTGTCTCAGAATATAAAAAGAGATGGGATGTAGATCAGTAGTAGAAATGCCCCTGGATTCAATCTGAAGTAAATACCACCCGAACAAGAGAAAAATATATTAAGAAGTTACATTGTAGGGTAATGCTCCAGACTCACTGGAGGTATCAATAATACATGAAATTACATTTGAAAACATCCCGCAAAAGCTGACTTCAAAACAAAACGAAATGCAACGAAACAAAAAGAAAAAGAAAGGAAAACTGAGTTCTAAAACAGCTATGGTCCCAAAGCATTCACAGAAAAATTATAGATCTGTGTAATAAACTACACCATCTTGCACCATACTAACTAGGAGTCTTTTTCGGTCTCTTAAAACTGATTTTTTCTAAATTGAAAACTGACTTGTCTACTTACTTATGTTAATTGGAAACATAAATATTTCCAATGTCTACTTTAGAATCTTCTACATAGTTACTTTCAGGAAAAAAAAGTATGGACCATTATCTTTCCAAAAAGGTTAAAGTCAGTCATGCCAAAAAATAGGAATAGAGAAAATTACTTCTTGAGATCCTTTCCAGTCCTAACACGCTTTGTTTAGGCTCAAGACAGCTCTTAAGGACAGTGGGATCATATTCTCTTTTCCAGAACCCTAGCCAGTTCTGTACTGGCTGTTGTTAAACTTTTATCACAGCTTTGATATCCATGGTCTCAAAAAGAATACCACCACAAACTCTAGATACTCTCTTAGATTCTGTATTATTTTTCCAACTTAACATTTCATAACCAAAATTAAGAGCTGCTGATTAAGAAAAGAAAAATAATTTTACTTTAAAAGCTAGTATCTATGTCCATCTGGATATAAAATTTTAAACAGATGTTCGATAGAATACTAAATATGGAAAGTATCGTGGTTATCTATTAAGGCCATGAGATATAGCAAACAAGATATGCAGGCATGGAACATAAGCCTATAAAACTTTAAAGGGTATTTTTTCAAAAGAAACACATCTATGTTCTCATTTATTTGAACCCTACAAATCCCTTAAAGACCTTTATATAGGTAATTTTTTTTTTAATGGTACACTGTTGGAAAAAAAATGGTCTGGCAGTTTTTCAAAATTTAAATAGTTACTATTCTAAGTACACACCAAAACGGAATAAAACCAATGTCCACTAAAAACTTGTATGCAAAATTGTTTGTGAAAGCATTATGCATAATAGCTAAAAAGTTTTTAGAAAAACTCAAATTTCTATCAACTAAAGATGGATTAAAAATAAAAAAGATGTGGGGTACTCATACAATGAAGTATTATTTAGGAATAAAAGGAAATAAAGTACTGATATATGCTACAATAGGCACAAATTTTGATAACACTATGTTACATAAAAATCATTTACAAAAGGCTATATGTTGGATAATTCTATATATGAGAGGTCCAGAAGAAACAAATGCATAGCAACAGACAGTTAATGGTTGCCTAAGGCTTAGGGAGGTAGGCTTTAGGAGAAAATGAGGAATGATTGCCTATGATTATGAGGTATCTTTTAGAGGGTAAAAAAATACTCTAATATTCATTGTGGTAATGATGGTATGATTTTGTGAATATGAAAGTCTACTGAATTTTATATAGTTAAAGTGGGTGAAGTGGGCCAGTGATATAAGCGCCTGCCTGGCAAGTGCAAGGTTGTGAGTTCAATCCCTGGTATGGAAAAATAAAAATAAATAAATGGGTGAACTATGTAAATTATGATATATGAAATATTATAATACATATATATTGTTTGTTTGTTTTGTACCAGAAATCAAACTTGAGCTTACCAGGCAGGTGTTGTGCCACTAACGTATATCCCCAGCTCCAGTTATATCTTCAGCCCCTACATTTTTTTAAAATAGCAAAAAATAAGCCATATACCAAGGAAAAAGATAACTGAAGCAGGAAACTAGAAATTCTATTAGTATTAGACTCTGATACAAAATTACAGAAGACAGGGTAGGCTTTAGCCAATCTGAAAAAAGCAACCATAACAAGAGCTTTGTGTATGTAAGACAAGTAAATAAAATAATAGGAGTTAACCCAGGCATGGTGATGTCCACTCACAATCCCAGCACTCAGGAGGCTGAAACAGGATTGCTGGGAGGTTCAAGGCCAATTTGGGCTATGAACTGAGTCAAAGATCAGCCTAAACTACATAGTGAAATCCTGTCTCAAAAAAAAACAAAACAAAATAATAAAGGTTAAATAGAAAAATATATAAAAGTGTAAGGCAAAATCAATTCTGAACAATTTGAAAATAATATTAGTCCTCTCAAGGGGACAGGTCATATGGCAATGACCACTAAAATTTACTGGAGTCTTAATCCCAATAACAGGATAATTTAAAGTAGAATATTTAGTTAGAAGCTTAACAATTATTTCTGTGTTTGTTTGTTTTTGAATCAGGAAAAAAACTCAGCACCTCATGTTTGCCAGGCACGTGCTGTGCCACTGAGCTATACCCTCCAACCTAACAAGAATTAGTTCTAAAGGCCCAGGATATAGCTTAGTGGTGTAAGCACCTGTGTGGCAAGTGCAAGATTCTGAATTCGATACCTGGTACCAAAAAAAAGAATTAGTTGCAAGTGGTGCTATTTTTCTTTACAATGTACTGTATAAAAAATTTTACTATATAATCAGAAAAATATAACTTATAAAAATATAACTTGATTAAGCTTCTAAAAGTTCTTTTTAAATGGAGTGATACAAAAATTTAAATAAGCATACCAAAAATTAAATTAGCATGTTAGACGTTAGTAAGAAATTTGTAATTTTCAACTTAGCTGTTCTTTGCCCTTCCTAATATTCACTGTTACAAGCTCTTTTACCATAAAACAAGATGAAACCAAGAGGTGCAAGTGCAAATTTCTAAAATTATAATCAATCATTGGAGAGAAAATGTGCTAAACTATTCACTAACAAACTGGAAATACTTTCACTATAATTACTTTTACCCTCAATTAACAGGTGTCACTGCATACATTCTACTCCTGGCAAGCATCATTTCTTTGTGTGAGACAGGGTCTCCCTGTGAGTTTAGACTGGCCTTGCACTCACTATATAGCCCAGGCTGGCCTTGAATTCACAGAGATCCTCCTGTCTCAGCCTCTTGACTACTGGGATTACAAGCCTGTGCCACACGCCAGCAAAAATCATAATCTTCGATGATCCTGATTAGGTGTCACGGTTTACAAAGCCTGAAAGATGTAAAAACACTGACCCTTGTGTGGAAGAAACTCTTGTTTTCATTTTCATTTGAAGATAACCTTTATGTTAGACTATCGATAAAAAGTATAAAGAATAAGGAAATGCTTAAAGTTTTCGTACTATTCACACTTGTGTTTAAAAATTCCACATAACTATCCAGCCTTCCTGATAAGCAAAGCAAGCCACACAAGCCAGGAAGAGAAAAGCCAGCATCTCCCATGAGCCTTCTGGTGCCTGGGCTAAGAATGAACCCTCCCTCCACCCATCCCTCCCCCTCCTCCCCCCAGCAACCCAATGGTTCCAAGGGTTGCCCGAATTGATAGCAACTAAGGCACATACAGTGACTAAATGATTGTGTTCTTTGGTTGATTACGCAGGCCTGGGGCCAAAGGTCTGAAGAGGATGGGAGGATGACTCTATGCAATATAGCAAATATGGAGGATTGCCTTCTATCTTGTTTTTGAAGTCCAATATTGTTTTCACTGCTTTGCTTTGTTCTGATTAATTGTTTTGCTTTATTCAATATTCTGTTTTGATTGGTTTTAAATGCTGGTTTGATTTTGCTATACCTGACAGAATGGAGAACTATTGTGAAGATAACAAGATATACTATGGTAACTATTATTGTTTTCCCAGTATCCTGCTCTAAAGTTCTGCACCAATTTTGCTGCATTGTCTTGATTGGCTTTGTTCTGTCTTGTTCTGTTGTATTTTACTATCTTTAAAGTAAAAAAAAAAATTTTAAATTCCACATCAATATTATTCTCTAAGGTTTTTCTTTCTCCCATTTTTAATCAGTCAGGCATCAGTTTAAAAAATGTTACAGAATAGTGGCCATGAAGCACATAGGAAACATCACTGCCAAGTCCCATAATAGTCCCAAACTTCTCTTGATAAGATTGGCAATTAATTTCCTCAAGGCTGGGAGTTGTGATGCTGCCTCAGCCTCTCAGTATGCTAGGATTTACAGGCATGCAGCACCACACCCAGGTTAGGTTTCATTTACTTGTAACATTGCATTATAACATTATATAGGGTGGTTCTGAATATAATAATCCATGGCTAGCCTAGCACATCACATAATGAACAAAACAGGCCATGATGCAGTAATGACACTCACTAGGTATCAGATCCTCACCAAGAGCAGACATGATACAAATGTTTTCATGAGATCATTCTGTCAAGATCCAGAAGCACATTGGAGTGAAAAACACTGGCCTAGGAAGGCAATCTCATTATTCTCATCTTGAGTCACACTACTTGTGGTCTTTTTTTTTTCTCCCTAGAAAAAGAGCACTGCTCTAAAGCAGTAGTTGTATTTCTTGTGTCTATCTGTTTTTTGAGACAGGGTCTCACCATGTAGTTCGGGCCAGTTGAACTCAGTGATCCTCCTCTCTCGGCCTTCCAGGGCTGAGATAATAGACTTGTGAAACTAAATCCAGCCTACTGCATTCTTCTGAAAAATTTTTCTTTTAATTACAAGAGTAATACATGCTTAGAAATATTTCAAGAAATATAGGTAAAGAAGATTTATAATAAAAGTTAAATCTCCCCCTTCCTTTTCCCCAGAATATTCCCTGGGAATGCTGTAGAAAGTATTTAAGTGGGCAAATCCCTAAGAGCCTCCATCCTCAAATACATCACCTCATTCAAAGAGGCTCCGCTTCTATGTGTCTTAAATTTCATAGGTTTTGAAGCAATGGTTCCACTACTAAAATTTGGGCTGAGTGTGGTAATGCACACACGTAATTCCAACACTCAGGTGGCTGAGGCAGGAGGTTACATAGTGAGTTCAAGGCCAGCCTAGAATACACAGTGAGACCCTATCTCAAAAACAAAGGAACAGTAAATTAATTTTTAAAAATAAAGTTTAAAAGCCACAGAATTAAATTATTATAAAGGTATTATCCAGCTCTAAAACTGTATATTCCTTGTCTACTGAACAAAATCCTCATTTTTCCTATTACATTTTTATCCCTTGACTTTACCTTACCTCTAGCTCAAGATCTTGAGGTTCCATTTCAGAAAGCGATAGCACAGCAATTTTGGTAACTTTACAGACTTCATGGTCTCCTGGGAGTTTGCCCACCAAAGCTTTCTGCCGAATTAGAATAAGCCACCATGGAAGATCTAGAAGACAAAACTCGTATTAATGTCTAGCTTTAGAGTATCACTGCCTGGCAAGTTCAAGGTAAACACCTAACAATCCCAAAAATGTGTGCATCAAATATGACTTTTTTTTTTCAAAGTGTACTAGAAAGATTTTTACTGCCAGCATTTAATTGGGTAAACAGACAGGCAAGATGCAGGTTTGAATTCAATAAGTGGCCAGGACACAGCTCAGCAGCACAGCACCTGCCTGGCAAGTACGAGGTCCTGAGTTTGATTTTCAGTACCAAAAAAATGGGGAAATTTAGGAATACCTGACAACATATGGACTTATCTTTTAGCAGCAGCAAGTTTACTCTTAGAATTTTATCTTGAAGATATACCTTAATAACAAATGTCTGTCAGACCTATTCATTGCAGCAGTTTATAACTGCAAAACACAAGTATATACTAGAAATGATCTAAATGCCCAGACACAAAAGAGTGGTTGCATAAACTATGGTACATCTATAGAATGGAGTAAAAAATTAATTAGATATCTTCTATGAACTGATAAGAAATAATTCCTAGATATATTATTAAGTGACTAAGCTGGGTATGTTATTAATATATATATATATTATATGGCTGTACAGTCACGTGCCATGTGATGAGTTTCAGTCAATGATGGTGGTCCCATAAGATTATAAAGGAAGCTAAAAATTTTTTGTTGTCTAGTGATTTCATAACAAAACAATACAATATGTTACTCACAAATGTGTAAGCAAACTTATGATGCCAGTTGTATAAAAGTATAGCACATATGCTTATGTATAGCACATAATACTTAATGATCAATAACTATGTCACTAGTTGTTATGGCTTATATCTAGAGGTCCCACAAAACGTCACATACTCATAGGTGGGGTTTTTGAGAGGTGACTGGCTCATGGGTATGCAGTAAGATAATAGTCCACTGATTGGTTTATCAGAATTCTGGCAATGGATAGCACCAACCAATAGGCTAGTAGCCTGAATTGGATAAAAAGGGAAAGAAAAAGGAAGGCTTGCTACTTCCTGCCAGACCTACAATGGATTGTTCCTCCTCTGCCATGCTGCCCTGCTTTGCTAGCAGCTGCCATGGACTGAAACTCTACAGACTGTGAACTGAAATAAAATTTTCTGCCTTTAACTTGTGGGTGCCATGTCTTTTGTCCCAGAATGGGCAAGTAACTAAAATAAAGCCAGGAATGGTGGCACCCACCTATAATCCCACCATTTGGGAGGATGAGGTAGGAAGATCGCTGTGAGTTTGAGGCCAGCCTGGGCCACATGAGGAGTTCAAGGCCAGCCTGGACAACACAGTGGGTCCCTGTCTCAAAAAGCAAAGGAGAGGGGAGGAGAGAAGAGGAGAGGAGGAAGAGGAAGAGGAAGAGGAAGAGGGGAGGGGAAGGAAGAGGAGAGAACAGAGCTAAGAGAAAAGAAAGGGAGAAAGGGAAGAAAGTAACTAAGACACTAGTTAATATACATACTGTGCTATAGTTCAATCATTATTTTATTTGAGTCAGTTGGTTTTCTTTTTTTCCAGTGCTATGGATTAAATCAGAATCCCATGCATATTCAGGCAAACAGTCTACCACTGAGCTACTTCTCCAGCCCTCTTTGTTCTTTTTTGTGTATATTTGCTATTTTGATTTATTTAAATAAGACTACTATTTTAGGTATATACATTTATAGGGTACAGTGTGATAATTCAGCACATGCATAGAGATTTTAGTCATTTTCCCACTGCTGGGACTTGAAACCTCACTTAAATGAGGACAGGTTTATTTTGGCTCACGCCTTCTGAGGGTTCAGTCCATGATCACAAGGCCAAGACAGAAACAGCACAATAGAAGAGCACAGCAAAGGATATCTGTTCAACACATACAACCAGGAAGCACAGAGAGATGAAGAAGGCAGAGGCTAGGGAAAAGAACACACTCTTCCAGGTCATACTTCTAGGACCCAGCTCCAACCAGATCCCACTCCCTAATATCACATTTACTTATGAATTCATCAATGAATTAATCCACTGATAAATATCATGACCCCATGATCCAATCACCTTCCAAAAGCCTCACCTCTGAACATCAGATATTAGGGGAATACTTAAGACCTAAACTGTAACAAGTAACTTTTTTCTTTTATTGTTGTTGCCATTTCACATCATTTTTATTAGTGCATACTGGTTATACACATTAATAAGTTTCATATAGGAAGAGTAAAACATGCCCATAACATGCTTTATTTCACACACCTCCAGCTTCATATCTATTCCCTTTACCACTGTTTCAGAGAATATACTCTTAGTCATAAAATAATTCTACTAAAAAACATTACACTAAGTTACACTGCCAATAGCCTCATAAATCCCATGTTTACTGCATCTCTTGATTGAATCAAGAGGCCATGTCAAGTGATTGACCTATACCACCAAGGTTTGTGTAAGTGCATTACATAATGCTCTCACAGTGATGAAATCACCTAACATTCTGTTTCTCAGGATGTATCCCCTTTGTTAATCAACATGTCTGTGCAGATTTAGAAAAATAAAATGCCCGTATAATATATTAAGATAAATTATTAAATCAAAGCACAAAAGAATACGTATAGTCATTCCCCTTTATCAGTAGCTTCATTTTGATTTTATTTATTCTAGTCAACTTTGGACCAAAACCATTAAATGGAAAATTTCAGAAATAAACTAAGTTTTAAATTACATGCCATTCTGAGCAGTGTAATGAAATTCACACTATCCCTCTGTTCCATACAATACATGAACCACTTCTTTGTTCAGCATATCCAAGCTGTATATGGTACCTGCCTGTTAGTAACTTAGTATCCACCTGGATTGAAAGTGTCTTAATGTCTGTGGTTTAAGTAACCCTTAAAAACTGCCCTAAAGCTACTCATTATTGTCACAATTCCAAAATCACTTATCTCACTTCATTTTGTTTAGTTAGGCAACTGTATCATCTCCTATCATCACAAGAAAGATGAATAAATTATAAGATACTTTGAGGGAGGGGGAGAGAAAGAAAGAACATATTCACCTAACTCTTATTAAGTATATTATTATATTTGCTCTATTTCATTATTGGTGTTAATCTCTTACAGATACCTAAAATTATTAATTAAACTTTGCCAGGCATGGTGGCCCATGCCTTTAACCCCAGCACCCAGGGGGCTAAGGCACAAGGATCACTGCAAGTTTGAGGCCAGTGTGGGCTACATTATGAGACCTTGTCTCAAAAAAAATTTTTTAAACATATAAATTTTACCATAGGTATGTAGTACAGGAATAAAACATAGTACAGTCATATATTGCTCAACAAAAGGAATGCATCCTGAGAAGTATGCCATTAAGCATTTCATTTCTTCATTATGTGAACATCACGGAATGTACTTCCAGATCCAAAACAGTTACAGTTGTCACTAAGTGATAGAATCTTATACGACCACTGAGGGTGTACATGGTCCACTGTTGACCAAAACATCACTAAACAGCAAATGACCACATATATAGTGTTCAGTATTATCTGCAACTTCAGGCATCTACTAGGGGTGTTAGAACATATCTTCCACAGATAAGAGGGGCCTACTATATCTACATTGTGCTACTCTGTATATGGGAAAGAAGACATGAGAAGATACACACACAGAGAGAAAAAAATAGAGATAAATCAGAAGTTAGTGAAAATGAGATAAAATGAGGGAAAATAAAATAAAAAGAAGGGGAGAGTAGTTGAGAGACAGAAAGGATTAAAGAAAATGACAGCTCCAAGTGTACCCTGCAAAATGAATGGTCATTGAGTATAGTTCTGATTCTTAACACAATGGTAATGCTTCACATATCCCCCTGAATAAACAGTCAAAATCAACCAGAATATGGGGACAACTCAAATCAAACTGAAAATACAACCATACTATAGGAGATAGGGAAGAAAAAAATCTAACTTTAGAAAATATTTTGAAAAGATGAAGACCAAAAAACTTTATTCACTATTTTACTGTAGTTAGTAAATTATTTTTCTGAAAATAGCTCTCCCAGAATAATTCCAGATAATTCCAGAACTATTTTATGTGTACACTAAGATTAAACAGATAAATATATTTGTGAAAATGAGGTACAGGGTAAAACAAACCAATACTCATTAATGAAAAAAAAAAGATGTGAATAAAACTTTTAAAAACTGTTTCACAACTTCTTCACTTAGAGCACACAGAAATTAAATAAATGAAGGCACTGTGTGTTCAGTGTTTCTATTATTCACAACTTTTAAGTTATCCTAGATATTTAATGCAATGTCTATCAAATTTCTTTTTTTTTTTTTTTTTTTTTTTTTTCCTTGTCTTTTTCCTTTTTATTGGTACCGGGGATCAAACTCACAACTGCCTGCTTGCGAGGCAGGTGCTTATGCCGCTGAGCTAAACCTCCAGCCCCCTCTATCAAATTTCTTATGAGACTTTTAGAAAAACTTAAAACTGTTTTAAATTTCACTTGAAAGACCGAATGTATAAAAATAGTCAGAAAAAATTTTATAAAGAAATTGAGAGATGTCAAATTTTTCCCATGAGTCAGCACCATTAATGGACTGCAGGGGAACAGAAAAACAAGTCTGCAATTTCAGGCATCTTTAAGAAGCAAGTCCTCCCTGTGAACCGGTGCCATGTGTGGGCCTCTGTGGGGAGAGCTAGATGCCAGCCTTTTCCTGTGAGTTGGCACCATTTGAAGACTGCAGGGGAATAGAACAAGAAGTCACAAGAAGCAAGCCCTCCCTGCAAATCAGCTCCATGCATAAGCCACTGGGGGAACAGCCAGACACCAGACTTTTCCCATGAATAAGCATCATTCATGGGCTGAGAGGGAAGAGAACAAGAAGTCACCAAGAAGCATATCCTTCCTGCGAATCAGCACCATGTGCAGGTGGCTGTGGGGAGAGCCAGGCAGGAGACTTTTCCCATGAGTTGGTACCATTCACAGACTTCAGGGGAAGAGAACAAGAAGTCATCAAAAAGCAAGCTCTCCCTGTGTATCAGCACCATGCGTGGGCTATGAGGAGAGCCAGATGCTAGCCCCTTCCAGCGCATGGCTGGGTAACAAGAAGAGCCAACCCCTCCACCCACTCTACCACCCCTACTGATAGCAAACAGCTGATTTGGAGAAACACAGGCTGTGATGATGGCTATTGAGGTGGAATACAATTTAATGCTAGCAGTGTTCAGTGTTTCAAGTCAAAGTCGGTGATCTGATTATTCAGAGGATGGTAATATGCAGTGTAGTATCTATGAGGTATCTCCTTCTGAGGATGATGGCCACTGTTGATTCCCTATCGTCTTGTTTTGAAGGCCTGTATCATTTTCATGTTTTGTTGGGTTGGTTTTTGTCTTGTTTTGTTTTGTTTGATTTTATTGTATCCGGTGGCAGGGCAGCTATTTCAAAGATAACAAGATATATTATGGTAGCCATTTTGGATTTACTATTATCTTGTTTTGAAGTTCTTTATGGCATTCATTGTTTTGTTTTTATTGGTTCTATTCTGTTCTGTTTTGTTTGATTTTTACTATGTCTCTGAAGTTACCTACAGCTATTTTGAAGACAGCAGGAGGCATTATGGTAAACACTGCTGATTTCCTATTGTTTTGAAATCCTATGTCACTCACACTGGCTTTGTTCTGTTTTGTTTTGCTTGGTTTTATTCTCTTTAAAATTAAAAAAACAAAGAAATTGAAAAAGTACATAGCTTCCCAGATAGCACAATGTATTAAAAAAAAACTATGGTAAATAAAAGTAGTGATACTGATAATAGGAAGCATGAATGAATCAGTAGAACAGAATTGAGAAGCCAAACAAATACCTAATAAATGATGATGGAGGTGGGGAGAGATGGTGTTAGTAAATGGTGTTGAAATAATTAGTTCTTTATATGGCAAAAACTTCTTACTTCGAACCACACTCAACAATTATAGATAAGCTGATACATACAGAAGCAAAGCAAAATAAAATATTAGTAGGACATATGGAGGATGTTTTTATAAACTTGTAGGAAGTATGACATATAATTGAGAAGTCATAAAATGGGCAAGTATGATTACATGAAAATGTAACATCTGAATGGTAAATGACACTGTAAAAAATAATAATAAACAGGAAATTACTTGCAAAACACATACCATACTGAAATCAGTATCTATAAAATATAGAGAGCTTTATCAATCAATAAGAAAAGATGATCTCTAATAAAGAAAAAAACATGATTCTGCAAACCAGAGGAGTATACACAATAAGCACAAAAAATATATAATTAAGCTTGGTAGTAATAAAAATGCAAATTAAAATAGGAAAATCACTTTTTCTCTGTTGGGTTGGCAAAGAGTATGAATACTCAGTTTTAGCAAGAATAAGCATGTACAGCTACCCACTCAACT